AACAGATACCCTGGCTGCGCGTGCGACATTCCTAGTGTATGTTACCAATACAGCTGGGCAAGGAAACCGGACTGGTCTCAGTACTACTCTGGCTCTCCCGAGATACACCAGTATTTCAAGGATGTGGCTGAGAAAGCTAATGTCGTGAAATACTGCCACTTCAACCACAAAATCATCCGCGCAGAATGGCTCCAGACGGGCCGGTGGAAGATCACCGTTATGCGGAACAACAATCCCGACGACACCTTTGAGGATCATGCCGACTTCTTCCTCCACGGCGGCGGCGTGCTCAATAACTGGAGATGGCCCAACATAAAAGGTCTACACTCTTTCCGGGGACCTACTCTTCACACTGCGCGCTGGGACCACAAGGTCAAGCTCAAAGGGAAACGCGTGCTCCAGATCGGAATCGGCAGTTCGGGCGTTCAAGTCATTCCCGCCATCATCAATGACGTGGATCAGCTCTACGTAGTGGCACGGTCTTCCGTCTGGATCACGGCGGGGTTCGCGCCCACGTACGCCGGACCGCAGGGAACCAACTTCCACTACTCTGACGAGACCAAGGACAAGTTCCGGTCTGATGAGGACTTCTACCTGTCGTACTGCAAAGCCATCGAGTCGGAGCTCAACGTGAGGTTCAAGTTCCTCATCAAGGGATCTAAGGATGCCATCGACTCGAGGGAATACTCCATCCAGGAGATGCGACGCAAGTTAGCTGCTAAACCTGAACTGATGAACAAGATCATTCCCTCAGACTTTGGCGTCGGCTGTAGGCGCCCGACTCCAGGAAACGGCTTTCTCGAGGCTTTGTGTTTAGAAAATACGACTGTTCTGACCCAGGAGATCCAGGAGATCACCCCAACGGGCTTCATCGACGCCGAGGGGGTGGCGCATGAAGTTGATGTTGTCATATGCGCGACTGGCTTCGATACGAGCTTTCGTCCAACATTTCCTGTCATGGTCGACGGCAAAAATGTGCAAGACGCTTTCAACGACGACACAATTGGCTATCTCGGCCTCTCCACCCCCAACGTGCCAAACTACTTCATCTTTATTGGGCCGTACGGACCCCTTGGACACGGTTCGGTCGTACCCATGGTCGAGGCATACACAAACTACATCATCCAGGTCCTCGAGAAGGTGCAGGTTGAGGACATCAGAAGCGTACGGGTGAAGCAGTCCGTAGCCGAGAGCTTTACTCGCCACGCAGACCTTTACCTCAAGCGTACCGCTTGGTCAGACCCATGCAGCTCCTGGTTCAAGAACGGCCAGAAGGGTACGAAGCCCCTGTGCTGGCCCGGCTCGAGAGTCCACTACCTCACCATGTTGCAAAAGCCAAGGTTCGAGGACTTTGACATTGACTATCTGTCGGGCAATCCATTCAATTTCCTCGGCAACGGATTCGACACCCGAGAGTTTGATGGTCGTGATCTCACGTGGTATTACGGCTTACTCAACGGCCAAGACAAGCAACCGAAAACCGCCCCTGCGCCTGTCTTCTAGCATGCTGTTCTGAAAGTCTGAGAGGTTCCGGCTACGGTTCTAAGAGGGGGAGTGATGGGAACACTGGCTTCGAAGCTGCTTAGACTAAACGTATTTTGATTCTTTTTATATTACCATTGTCTTTCTTCATACTAAGAAGGAGCCAGAAGAAAACTTTCAATCCAGTCGTAGTCATCAGCGAGCGGGAAGACCCCGGCGAGGTTGTTCATAGTATCCATGTCTGGAATCTGCCGGAAGAACATATCGGGATCATCAAGGGAGTCCACGTTGCTTGTATCCGCCAAAAGTGTTGGGTCTCGAGGCCGCTGGTTCCCTTCAGCGGGTTGGAAGCCGCGTGAAACCCCCTCAGCACCCATTCCACCGTCAGGCTGCTGCTGGTCAATACTGAGGCCGGTTTTTACCATGGCGGCCTCGAACATGCGCACAGTCCAGGTAATGCTGCCCCAGTACTCGCAGCCCTCGCGTAGGTACTGAAGCTCAGAGAATAGTTGGGCCGTCAAGGCCTTTTTCTTCTTTGGACCTGTAGTTGGGTCCAGAGCAATTTCTATCCTCATGGCGAGGATAGAGGAAGTGCAGGTCATGCTAAAAGCGCAAAGGTCAGGACCGTTGGCAAATGAATCTGGGTGTAGCATATGGGGGAGGAACTCGAGAGACACCTACAAGGACAGAGGACACAAGCCAATCACATCGTTGATCGAGGCTCGCTGCATGATTGCCGATAGCTCAAACATGGCGTTCTCCTGCCTCTGAGTGACTTGCTGCATCGAAGCACTATCGCCGTTACGTCTGTAAATATCGCGCAATGTCCGGTAAAAGACTGCTTCCAGTCGAAAGCTGATAGCGAGCAGCACGAGAACCAAAACGTTGGCGACAGACCACTCCTGAAAGGATAGGAGCGAAATGCCTGGGTCGAGTTTGTTCTTCCAGCCCAAAATATCGTTCTCCAGGTCTTGTATCTCGGAAGCAGAAGGTACTCTGCCTGGAGTCTTAAAGTATTGTAGAAACCGTTTGCCTACTCGTGTCATAAGTGTCAGTGACATTTCTTTTTCTGTTTGTCTTTTCTTTCTCTTTTCTTAAAAGCAGAATGGAAAATAAAATTCTGGGGTAAGAACCAGTGCGTACTTATCAGCGAGAGTCTGCAATGTTCCAGAAAACATATCTTGTGCAAACGTGTAATAGGGGGAATCACGGACGCAAAGCGGTCAGGAACTTTAGTGTCGTCCCAGTCGTCTTCTGTAAGTTGATTTGTGTCGCAGTACCTTTCATCAAAGTTGGTGAGGTTCGTCAGGCCCAGAACGGCCATGAGTACGTCTCTGTTGTATAGCGCCCACCAGATTCGTCGAAAGAGCCGCTTGGACTTTGGATCGACCCTTTGAGATATGTACTGCCGGTGAAGACCTAGCTGCGTGGCAATTCGACAGGCGTTACTGAACCAGTACCGGTAGTCCTTGTCCATGGCGTAAGTGAAGGATAGGGAGCTTAGCATGATGGAGCCTTGGAGGCGGTTCAATTGTCCTGTCTCGCCTCCGAGGTCGTAGACCAGGATGGCCCTAGAGTAGAATGTCTTCTGTGCAGTCTCACGATCGTTGAATCCAATTCGCTGTAGCAGCTCCTCTGGGGCGTGAGCGGCCACATTGGCGAGGATTGACTGCATAGTAAACATAGATTGCCTTCCAGCGTAATACTCCTCCATGAACTGGGCACGGTCCAATATGGGTGCATATGGGTAAACACAAGTGAAGTAGATTTTCAGAAGTTGATTGCTAAAGGCTAATGTCAGCATCTGGAGGTCCTCGTCTGTGTCTCATGACTGGGCTTGCTTGCTTAATCGCTGATAAAAGGGCATTCAACACTACTGCGAATCCCAACAGCATTTTCACATACCATATATTTCGCGGCGGAATGTCCAGGGCACCCCTCTGCTCCAGGAAGTCCATATTAGTCGATGCTGCCTGCATGTCTCCCATCTGAGGGCCCCTATCTGTCCGCGCACGTTTCAGCATGACGCGAGTCAAACGGTTAGGCTGGCGCTTCCCAATGGCTTGGCCCAGGATGGTGGCTGGAGTGATACCCTCGTGGTATTCAATCACCTCGCAACACTCGTCGGCATTACCAGAATGATTTGGAGACACAACCGTGGCGTCCTCCCGGCACATTTCCTCGGCGATTCGTAATTGGACATCCTGCTCCTGGACGCTCACATCGGATGGGGGCGTATTCAGTGCCAGGTGCACGGCTGTAACATCTGAATTACCCTGGTCGATCTGCTGCATAGTCCGTGCTTGCACCTGTGGGGGACCGTGACTTGGAGTCTGATAAGGCAAGTTTTTAGAAACATTCGATACGTGGCTCTACGACGTCGCAATAGTACAGGCGCTCGTGAGGGTACTCACAAGTGTTATCGGGGGAGCTCCTTCGCCCAATGCGCCTTGCAGCAGTCCGAGATCAGAGTCGCAATCATCAGAGTCGGCTTGGGCAGGCTGAGAGAGGATTTGCTGTGAGCTTCTTGGTGATGAGACTCAGCCATCGTGACTTTTCCCGCGAAGTATCGAAAGACGTGTCTTGCCTCAGCGTTACATACCTTGTTCTCTCTGATTGCGAAGGTGCTGCTACAAGCACACAGGTCGAGTCCTGCTGGCGCCGCCGGCAACGGGTACAAGGTAGGCCGACCTGCCAGGCGTCGCAGCGGACCTTTCGGACGTGGCAGTGAGAGCAGGCACGTGGCTTCTTGACTGGTCGCTTCTCCATGCACATCTCCACAAGCGCACTCATGTTCTCTTCTGGTGCGACAGATATTGAACTAGAAGGGTCAAATTCTACGGGTTCCAATGTGTTGTCCAGTGGCAGGCAGCGGAACAGACGAGTGCTATGGCTGATGGAAAGAGCGGTGGCATGTAACTAGATATCCGTTCAGATACAGGGAAGCCGGGTTCAGGCGGGGTTCGGAGCTTCCCCAGAATCCCAATCCCATCCCCGCGGGGGAACAGGGCTTCCCCGCATCTAGGGTAGCGCGTGTAGTGGTAGCGTCAAGCTAATAACTAGACTACCTAGCTACGTGCGAGCACAGTATATCCAGTTTATCCATCACTTTCAAGATGCATCAGCACTGTGTCTCCTCTTCTTGCTTGTATTTCTCGTTAATTAATCCCTGACCAACGTTTTTTGTTGTTGTTATTATATAGGCAGATCAGACCGACTTGACGGATCTAGCTGTGAGCGTTCGCGAGACAGGTTGGGGAGGGCCCGGGTAATGGAGACAGACTGTTGTGAGCCGGGTGGGGAGCAGCACCGAGGCCAAGTTAAATGCCAGCCGAGTTTCGGGTGGCTCGGCGCCGAGTTCACACCAATGCCGTTTGCTCTTTTACTAATCCCGGCCGACCCGGGGACGAGTAACAACAGCTTCTGTGCTTTTAGTCGCGGGATCATATTCCATGTCAAACTTTTCACAAGATTGGTTTGGTATTGCAGGCATCAATATCTCATCCTTTTTTTCAACCATGACAATCATCAGTCTCGAGAGCAATTTGGTGTACATCAGCGCCGCGGTGGTCGCTCTAACTCTAGTCGCTCGCTTAATTAGAGCTACAAGTAGATGGAGTGGCGCGCCGCCTGGTTAGTATAGTAGTGGCAGAGGAGTGCACTCCTCAAAAGTGCCGGTTCCTAAGCTAAGGGTATTTCTAGGACCTCCAACGGTTCCTATCCTGGGCAACTTGCACCAGATTCCCCGCAGAGATCTCCATCTCCAGTACCAAAGATGGGGCAAAGAATGTAGGTCTTGCTACTGCAAGTCTCATGAAATAGAAGCAAAAAGTCTGATCTTGTAATACAGACGGCCCAATCTTTTCCCTGAAGTTGGGCTCCCAAAACATGATAGTCTTGACAAGTGGCGAGATGATCAAGAAACTCGTCGATAAGCGCAGTGGCAACTATGCGGACAGGCCAAAACTTTACATGCAGGAGGTCTGGGAGCATTCGAGAATCATCATGCGAGGCTACGATCCATTGTGGAAAGTCGAGCGTAAGCTCTACCATCAGTTCCTCAACATCAACAGGGCCACCAGATATGCTCCGTACCAGGATCTCGAGACCAAGCAGCTTTGCTACGATCTGCTTCAGAAACCCGGCGACTTCGAGGCGGTCGTAACACGCGCCACAACAAGTCTTGCCACTAGCATGGCGTACGGATTTCGAGTAGTCTCCCTTGACAGCCCGGTCATGCAAGAGCTCTTGACTAACACGCACGGGTTTTTCGTCATGGTGAGCAGCAGTAAGTTATTGGACTGGTTCCCGCAGCTCCGTCCAATCGCTCGCCTGCTTCCGACATGGTTGAATGGCGTAGCTAGAAAGGGGAAGGAGATTTTCGAGCGAGAAAAGGCACAGTTCCATAAACTCTACAAACAAGTCCAGGTCGAGGCTGATCTTGGTACCGCATATCCGAGTATATCTCTTCCAATTTCCACCCGTGTGTTGAATCCATGCTGACCATTTCTGTCGTGTCTATCAGGTTTTGCTGCAGATATTTACACAGCCCAAAAGACTTGGAAAGACGCTGCAGCCCTTGATCTCCTGACGGATCATGCCGCGTCCTACATTGCGGGGATCGCCATGGAAGGTGGAGCTGACACAACAAGCAATACCTTGGCCGGCCTCATCAAGGTAATACAATACTAACATAATGAATCCCCTAAAAATCATAATTCTTGGACGCCGATGAACTTGAACATTCGCTCAGAACGAAAAACTAATGATTACCAGGCCATGATGCTTTTCCCTGACGTACAGCGCAAAGTCCACGAGGAGCTTGACGCCGTGGTGGGAGGGGGCAGATATCCAACAATGGACGACTTTCAGTCGCTGCCGTATGTTCGACAAACGGTGAAGGAGGCACTACGATGTAAACTGAGAGGCAGGAAGCTTTTGGTAGCCATTGCTAACAGTTGAAGGGCTTCCTACAGCAATCAACGGCGCGATCCCGCATGCTGCGCTCGCGGACGACGAGATTGAAGGCTTCAAGATCCCAGCGGGCACTACCGTCGTGCTGGGAGTATGGTGTGCCAACAACGATGCCAGGCTGTTTCAGAACCCGCGAGAGTTCGACCCTTCACGCCATGATCCCTCCAAGTCCCTGGCGGAGGCTGCCGCGGCCGGCGACTACAGGCAGCGTGACCAATGGACATTCGGAGCGGGCCGTCGCATCTGCCCCGGAATCCATGTGGCCGAAAGGACCTTGTTCTTAGCCACGGCAAGATTGCTGTGGGCTTTTGACATCCGGAGGGCTCGTGGGCCTGACGGCCTAGAAATCGAGGTTGATCGGGATGAAGTTACGCAGTCAATTTCAGCTAGACCAGTCCCTTTTCGGTACGTCATGGCCTATTGCGCAAGACCGAGTGCCTAACAAACATGACAGATGCGAAATCAAGCCTCGAAGTGAGAAGCACGCCCGACTGATCTCAGAAGCATGGAGTCAAGCGCGGGAAGGGCTGGATAAGTCAGGAAACTATAACGAAGTCGCTATTCAGTGATCAATCTGTGCATCAAGTTGTGAAGGGCTGCTTTCTGATATGTTATGTCAATAACTACTCGCTTGAAATGACACAAAGCATGATACCGAAAAATGGCAGGGCTCTTCCAGTAAAGTCTTAGTTACAAGACTGTCTATAAGACCGTCTTCGTTACCAGGAATGCCAAAATAATATCGTAGACCTAAGATTACTGCAATGTAGTAACAGTAGGTTTAATAGATCCTTGCTATGGTCTTGCCACCATCCTTCACTCGTAGGATCTATGCGACAATGCGCCGTTATCACGATGACATGTGAGGCGCGTGATATAAGCTATCAGTTATATAGTCTATCAACTTGAAATAAAACTCTTATTAAAGTCAATCCAGGAAGCATCTCGTGGAATTTGTGTTGACAGTTCACAGGGATGCCTTTTGTCAGGCCATAACTTACTGACTCAGGTTGGCCGCTTCTTCTTTGTATCATCTGCCTATGCTGGACTGCCAAATGTGCCTCCTTGATGGTCACATATCGGTGCCGATGGCTCCACCCAACCGCATCTCGGGCTTCGTGACAATCCGCCTCTCGGCTAAGAACCCACTTCATCAACTGTGCTAGATGATAAATAGGTGGTACAGGCAAGACAGGAAGGCTCTGATCGTAATAGAACAAGCGTGCTGGAAAGATCAGCCATGTTTCGGTCACCCATCCCATCCGTGTCCATTCCATCAACTGATTTACTCAGTTATGTGTTTGGGGGTAGCGACCCTGTTGACCCTGGTTTACCGGTGAGTACCAAGAGTTTAGCCACCGTCACCTTTGAAATTCTTTCTCTCAGTCTGCAGGATACTAACTGGCTTTAGATCCTCATTAGCCCAGAGAACCCTGACCATGAGAATATATCCAAGCCACAGGCTAAGGATTTGGTCCAGAGGCTTGCCCGAGGGCTGCAGGTTGCGGGTTTCCAACCCGGTAACACGACTTGCCTCTTTTCTTCAAACAATGTGAGTAATTCTTTTTTCCTCGAAGCTTCTAGGGCTCAGAAACTGAGACGCCTCCTAGATATACCAACCAATCATCAGCCTAGGGTCCGTGGCCGCTGGCGGGGTCTGGACAGGCATGAACCCGGGACTGTCGGATGGCGAGGTAAAGAGACACCTAACCAATTCCGACACCAAGTTCCTATTCTGTTGTCCTACTCTTCGGGTGAAGGCTCTTAGGGGAGCTTCTGAGTGCGGAATCCCGAAAGCAAACGTCTTTACTATTACGCCTTTAACGACGAAGGATCCGACACAAAACCCATGGACCAGTCTCCTGGCTCATGGCTCGTCACCCTGGACATCCTTCAATGACGAAGCAACGGCAAAGTCCACCACCGCATGTCTCTACCCGACCAGTGGTACCAGTGGTCTGCCCAAACTCGCCATGTTGAGTCATCACAACGTCATTTCTGCGGCAGTGCTCCTCAACGAGGTCGAAAGACGCGACTACCAGGTGAGACAGGTCATGTTATGGCCCATGTTTCACGCTGCATCTCTTATATGGTCCCATATAACACCATTGCGTCAAGGCTGGCAGACTTACATCCCATCAAGGTTCGATCCGTCCAAGTTCTTGGATATTGTGGGACAGTTCCAGTGCACTGACACGGGGATGGCTCCGGCCATGATGTTGGCTGTCCTCCACATCGACCGTCCTGACCACGAAAAGCGAAGAAAGCTTTCCTCTATGCGATATGGGATTTGTGGCTCAGCTCCAGTGGGCCCAGAGCTGGAACGCCGTTGGCGGGAGATCATACCAAGTAACTGTCCGTGGAGTACAGCTTACGGCATGACGGAGCTTACCGGTGTCGTATCAAAGGTGCACTATCCAGTGCATGACAATACTAGCAGCGTCGGGGCCTTGATTCCAAATACGGAGGCTATGTGAGTATTGATTCTGCCTGTCACGCGCAATGCCCATCATTAACGTGAACATATTCTAGGCTCTTCGACGACGAAGGTATTGAGATAACGGCCTATAACCAGCCTGGTGAGCTGTTTATCCGGGGTCCAACCGTATTCAAAGGCTACTACAAGAACAGGGTTGCCACCCATGAGTGTCTTGAATCTGGATTCATCCGAACAGGTGATGTTGTTTACATAGAGTCAGAGAGCAAGAAGCTGTTCATCCTAGACAGAAAGAAGGTAGGTCAAGATGTTCCCATGAATACCCTGCCGTATGAGTAACTACGATTAAACCGGTACCAGGATCTCATCAAAGTCCGGGGCTTTCAGGTTGCACCAGCCGAACTAGAGAGTGAGCTCTTCAGTCATCCGGGAGTGGTCGAAGCCGCTGTTGTGGGAATCACGAACGCGAGCGGCATGGAGTGCCCTCGAGCATACGTTGTTCGGCGTCCGGAAAGCATGGTGAGCGAGGCCGAGCTGGTTAACTATCTCGGTTCTAGACTGTCTAGTTACAAGCGGCTGACCGGCGGGGTGTGTTTCATGGAGGCGCTTCCGAGAAATGCCAATGGAAAGCTGGCAAAGAAGGAGCTTAGGGAACTGGCAGCCCGTGAGCATCGTAGTAGTCGCTTGTGACGACTTTCTTGGAACTTTTAAATGTCAATGCATTACTATCTTACGGAAACCATTATTCGATTGAGCGAATTTCGGCGTTGAATCAATGTGTCCATAGATGGAAGATGCCATACGCACTTGGCAACCATACACGTACGTCTTGTGATTGAACAGACTTACTGGCCATAGTTTGCGCTACCATCCACCAAATTGCGGGGATCTGGGGTAACTCTGCCCAAAACCCTCGCCTGCATCTAGCGACATGACGCTATTCACAAGCTAGTCCCGAATTTTCGGATTCGCTCTCCTGCACATGCTCCCAGTCCAAGCCTCAAATACTTCGGCGCCGGTCACCGAGCTTCAATGCCAACCGATTGAACTTGCCAACAACCCTTCTGGCTCGTATTGGCTGAGCTGGAGGATATAAGAGAGTTGATCTCGCAGCCTCACGGCAACGTATCGTAGATATGAAGCAAGAAAATCGCCAGAACCATAGTCACCAGGCTTTCAGGTTGATATTTCCTTCCACAAACAGCCAGCCGCGCTTAACAAACTTAGCGCCATGTCCAAATCTGAGGTCCAGATCACTGACACCCAGCATGTCGAGCAAGTTGATCGCATGGTGGCAGAGGAGAGAGCACTCGTAGAGAGGAGACTTGTTCGGAAGATTGACATGCGTCTGATGCCCATGCTATGGCTTCTCATGGTCTTCAGCTACCTTGTAAGTACCAACCTGTTGAGACGTATGAACGATGAGAACTTCAAACAGGGAACGCTAACATCAACAGGATCGCTCTAATCTTGGCGCTGCCAACGTCGCCGGCATGAACAAAACTCTGAACCTGAGTGACCAAGATTACTATCACGCAATTGTCACATTCCAGGTCGCATATGTCATATCCGGGACTCCATCAAAGTATGTGGATTCTACACTCGGAAAGGGGTGAATTCGGGCTCATATCAGCATAGTATGATTATCGTTCGCTTGCGGCCATCTCTATACATACCCGCCATCATGTTTCTATGGGGCACATGTGCCACGTTTCTTGGTGCCGTGCAGTCCAGAGAACAGCTGTGGGCAGTCCGATTCCTTCTTGGAGTTACCGAGGCTGGCTTTGCGGTAAGCAATGCTCTGATCTCTTCCATCCTAGGGGCTGAAGGACTGACCAGCCTCATAGCCTGGAGTTATGTTTATGTTTAGTTGCTGGTACAAAAGGGAAGAGCAGTAAGTTTCCCAGCGGCAAAAAGATCCATTTGTGTCACTTTCATGTAGCTATCTAACGTTGAAATAGGGCCAAGAGATTCATCATCTTCTTGAGTGCTTCGATTCTCTCCGGCGCCTTTGGCGGTGTTCTCGCAGGTGCCATCAGTGGCCACCTAGACGGGGCGAGGGGAATCGAAGGATGGCGCTGGCTTTTCATCATCGAAGGCGTCCTTACTGTTGCCATGGCTCTCTTCGCACCTTTCAGCCTCCTTGACTATCCCGCCACGTCGAAAGGGCTGATAGCAGAAGAGAGACTTGTTGCTGTGGAAAGACTTACGACAGAGGACATCACGGCTGCTACTGGCAGCCATGAAAACAGCTTATCCCACGGCCGTGCCTTTGTCTCCGCGGTAACCAACTGGAGGCTGTACTTTCTTGCATTGCCCTACATGCAGCTCGTCGGCTCCTCAGCCCTCGCTTACTTCTATCCCTACTTGATCCAGGGTCTCGGATACACATCCGTCAAAGCACAGTTCGTGAACATCTCTCCCACATCAACTACATAATTGACTGAACGGAGCACCGACTAACTGGCTGTGCAAGATACATGACAACGCCGCTTTACATAGTCGCGCTCACTATCGCAATTCCGACATCGGTGGCTGCTGACATGTTTCCCTTGCAACGTGGATTCTTTGTGTTCACCATCATGTTGCTAGGCGCCATCTTTTGTGCCCTCGCCACGGGCATCCGCGCTTACGTACCCCGCTATGTCTTCTTGTGCTTCATCAACTCAGCTATCTGGACAGGCAGTCCGATTGCCCTCTCCTACGCCGCAAGTAACCTCGGGCCAGTAGATCCCGAGACGAGAGCCATCAGTCTTGGGATCATCAATGGACTTTCCCAACTGGCGCAGATTTATGGCTCGGCGCTCTTCCCACGGTCTGAAGCTCCCGAGTATCTGACGGGATTCACCACGTATACCTTGCTATTTGCTACTGGATCAGTTATTGCCCTTAGTGGGAGCTTCTTGCTCAGGAAGTACCCGTATAAAGCCGATTTCTAACTGTCTTATTCTTCCTTGGTGGAGCATCTCGCACAGACTCGGAGCTCCCAGCGTGCAGAGACTGGGTATTCGATGGGTTCTGTGGATAGGGCGATGTGTTGAAATTATGTAACAGGAGAGCCGGGTTCAATTACTTCTCATGTTAATGTCGCTCCTCACAGGAATATATATATTGACGGAAAGGAATCTTTTCATTCTCCAATCCATAAGACTAGCTCCTTTCCTATAAGATGATGCTCAGTGAGCATTGACGATCCAGTGGAGAGGCTAAGGACTCTAGGCTGTTTGTACTGTGTCTTGTCCCGGCATGTGTATGTTATTATATAATAGTGCAGTACACGAATGAATCTTGTGCAAAGCTTTTTATATATTTCATTGATTTATGTTACTCTGATGAAAGGCCTGCATAGTATCATGATACATCAATAGTGGTACAGTGACCAACCCCCATCGACTGGCAACGTAGTTCCAGTAATACCGGACGACTGCCTTGCGAGAAGAAACGAAACTACGTGAGCCACTTCTTCTGCCTGTAGATGTCTTCCCAGCGGTGAGGGCGAAAGCTTCTGCTCGAGTTTAATCTGCGTATCCGCTGAGGGTTGCTGAGCCAGCGCAGAGTGGCACACACAGTTGACCCGGATTCCGCTCGTCACGTAGTCCATGGCTGTGGTTCGCGTCATGCCCACGATGGCGCGGCTTGCTGCTGCACAACTTGGTAATTGAGGCTCCGATCCAACGCCGTGAACAGTCGTAATGTTTACGATGCTCAAGACCCCTTTGTTTGTTTCTTGACTGAGGGCTTGGGAAATCTCTTCACGCATCCAGAGCCATATCTGGAATCAAACTCGTCAGCTTTGGTGACTTGTTCTACATCAATTTTTGCAGTAGACGAGAGACATTGTTTCCAACAGCCTCACCTACCGTTCTCTGGACAGCCTCAGCTGGCTCTTTGAAGCTTTCGAGACTGAGGTCCGCAGTCATACCAAATGTCATAGGCATGTCAGGACAATTTGCAGCATAGTAAATGGGCCCATACTGCTCGACTACCTGTGCCGTAAGCTGCCTGACTGTCTCGGCGTCATTGAGGTCTCCTGTCAACACTAAAAGTTCCAGATCCTGCTTTCCAACATCACGGCATGCGCGAGCGAGGGCCTCTGTTTGGTTGAGGTCCACGTCTACGAGAGCGAGCCGAGTACACCCTTGCTTCGAAAGCTGCAGAGAGGTGGCACGACCAGTTGCTACGAATGTCAGCCTCGGTGTACAATAATTATTGGAGTTTGATGGAATGGTTTGCTGATCCATACGTGAAGAAGCGCCGACAATGAGCGCGACACCTGGGAACGAGTCCATCATTTTTCGCAAGTGGATTGAGGAGTCCAAGGCCGTCGAGAATTGCAAAGTAAAACTTTCCGACCAGACATGGAGCAACAGTGATGACGAGGCCTGAAAATACAACGACTTCCAACCAACCAACTACGTCTGTGGCGTCTAGCGTGGATAAATGGTCAAGCAGTTCGGCCCATTGACTCCCCGAAGCGGCGACAATGCAACCCGACTCGGTGCCGATGGAGGAGGAGGAGAGTCGACCGAGCTCGGCAGCACAAGTTGACACATCAGCTATTACGCATCATGATTCGAATTGTATAATCATTCCAGCTCAAGGTGCTCGATAGTTAGTTTCTAGGCCCAATTGGATACAGACGAGCAAAAATGCAGATCGCACTTCCCGGAGTCGCGTTAGTCACGGGCGCAGCCTCAGGTACAGACAGACTTGAACAACACAGAAACACACACATCGAAGCAAATAACACTGACCTTACATGAAATGCAGGTATTGGAGCAGGGCTTGCCATTTATTTCGCCAAAGAAGGATGTACAAAGCTGTTTCTGGTAGACGTCAACTTCAGCGGGCTCAAAGATACCAAGGCGCATATTGTCGCTGAAGTCCCCAACGTCAGGGTGGAAATCTTTCAAGTGGACATCGGTAGTGATGCTTCAGTGGAAAGAATGGTCGATGCATGCGTGGCCATGTTTGGACGTCTAGATTATGCAATCAACCTTGCGGGTGTAGTCCCTGCTAGAACGCCGATTGCAGAGACGCCGGTGGCTATATTTGATAAGGTTGTTTCTATAAATCAACACGGTGTAAGTTGAGACCCTTTCCTCCCTCGCTCACAAATATGGCCTATCTCCGCTCTCTTCTAAAGCAGTAAAAGATTGACCGAGTTGTCACTTCCACAGACTTGGCTATGCCACCGGGCCGAAATCCGACAAATGCTAAAGCAGGATCCCCTCCCCAGCTTAGGCAACGTGCGAGGGAGCATAGTCACAGTATCTTCATTGGCAGGGCTCAATGCCTCAAGTGGAATGTCACCATATTCTGCTTCGAAGCACGCTATGGTCGGTTTCGCAAAGACAGACGCTCAGGATTACGGTCCACAAGGCATTCGAATCAATGTCATATGCCCTGGCATGATTGACACAGCCCTATTTCGGCAGACCAGCCCCCCTGATGCTCCGCTCAAGCTTGCCAATATCACACCTGTCAGACGCCTGGGGAATCCAGAGGACGTCGCCTTCCTTGCAATAATCTTGTGCAGCTCACAAGCAACTTTCTTACAGGGAGCTGTCATCCCTTGTGATGGAGGGCTGTCACTACAAAGGGGAGTGCTCTAGCGGCAACTCAGTTACTTTCCTTCATATATACCACCAAACAACAACAAAAACTACAACTATTGTTTTAAAGGCAGCGCAATTCCATAGTCTCCTAGTGTAAACAAACACCCGTCGTCGACTCAAAGTCCCAGCCTGCTGTTTGCTAACATTTTCTCGCAACTGGCCTTGCTTGCTGTGGTTACTGAGATGATGCGTGCTCAAATGTATGCTCTTAACGTTGGTGACTTGGACTTATTCAACGACAATGCGGGCATACAAGTGGCTAATGGAGAAATTATCAAGGATTATCCTGTTTATCCTTATCCGGACTATATTGATCGGCCAGTACGCTCTTGTCGTTCGCCATGAAGTAACATAAACGCCAATCGACCCCGAAGGGACGCCAGATATCAACAGCTAGCCAATAATATCTTCCTACATTGTGTCTACAAGTCCAGGCGAGTTCTTAATGTACATATCTTCCCACTCCAAAAGGCTTTCCAAGGCGTCAGACTGACTCGAGACCTCATCTGTGCAATGCTGATGGGCTGCACTACAGGTTGAGTCTGTGAGTGCCCTAAAATAATTGTTGCCTGTAGCCGATGGGCTGGAGGCCACCTGATCGTCCCAAGGGGCTGGCAAAGAAGCCTCGAGGAAAAGGTTGTCTGTAAATCTCGGTGATGCCAGATCATCACCTGATTGAGAAATGCTGGCAGAAACCGCAGAGTCATTTGCACGGTGATGGGACGTATCGGTCTCCTCTCGTCTGGTGCACAATGAGAGGCCAAACACCTCATCTGGGGTCTGATCTGCTTCCCTCGGAAGTACTTCCACACCATCTGAACTCACTGTCGACTGATACGACTCCAGGTGTATTGGGGAAAACATCAGATTGGCCGTGGGAATATAGTTGCTCCTCAAGGCGACAGGAAAGTCCCTGTCCTCTGGGAGCCTGAGGAGACTTAGACTCAAGTCCATCGTAAGTGCCAGACGTAGGTAAACGTCAGGCTTACAAGCCAAGACATCTGTAAATTCTGTTATCAGGCTATTCGAGCTCAAAGAAATGTCCATCTGGACGAGATTGACGAGGTGTCGAATGGTAGTACTTATCAATTCTACCCCATCGTGGCGCGGCTCAATCTCTTTCATTGCTTCCACCAAGACCTTAAAGCGGTGTTTTTTTACTGCCAATTTGGCGGGAAGGTTGGCCGTAGCTAGAACCTGCAGGTCCAGTGTACTTAGAAGTAATGGAAAGGCGATGAGAGCCATTCTAGACAAGATCTTAGTGTTTGTTGAGCTCCGATGGAGGGGACTTACAGGGACTTACACACTGAGAGGGAGATATTGGACAAGCCCTAGTTGCGTAAGTTCTTCAAGACAATCCATGACGCCAAAGCTTGCTTCTTGAACCTCCCGGCCATGCTCGGAACTATGTAGAGTGATAAAATTGTCAACACCAGGCGGCATTGATTGTAAAATCGGGATGAGTGCCTCGAAATTCGATAATGCGAGCCTTGCATAACTGTGAGAAAGGTGGAGTGACCAATCAGCACTCTGCCTTGCTACGACAACTCGCCGGAATGTTTGCTCACTGGTAATACATGTACATGAGGCTGCCATGTACAATCACTGACTGGTCACGAAACCTGTTATCAAGCAGAGGGCTTGGAATGGCGGTGCTTGTCATCATAAACCAGTTTTTCAAGGCGTCACGACAGGCTGACAGTTTGGCTACCTCCTTTTGAGTGTAGTTCAACCGATAGCAATCAGGTAGGCAGATGAGCTCTAAAAGATCTGTCAAAAGCCCGCATAATTCCATTACTCTCAAGAGGATGCATACAAGCCTTCGCTTGTTTTCCCGTCTGGCGACCTCTGAGTGGTTTATTTCATTCTCAAAATCAGAAGGGAGCAGCACTGGCGGCACCTTGGTGATTTGAAGTCTTCGTCGCAACCCCAGTGACAAAACCCGGTCACGAATGACGCAGCACCACCACAGTCGTCTTAGTAAGTGTGATCTTTCGGATTGGACTTGGAGGTCTGGATGCTCCCAGGCTTCGTGCGCTCCAAGGCATCGGGCGTGGTGTATTGCGATGCTCAACCAAAGGCTGTTGGGCTTTTGAGGGCCTGTTCTCGATGTTGGATACCAAAACGAGAGGAGGAGGGCCGCTTGAGATAGCACCATAGGCGAGGACTCCAAGTTGAAGTCAAAAAGGATCTAAGAAGTCACTGTTCAGTGGAAGGGCAAACACGAACGGCGAGGATAATGCCCATGTACCTTGGCTCTTTGGTAGAATGCTGACCTAGCTCGTCGAATGTCTTTAAATCCTAAACTCTGAATAGTGGCTTGCATCGCAAACTTCTCAGTTCTCAGCAATTATTGAATCGCTTCGACTACGTCAATTAACAGTAAGTAGGGCACTCACAGCGCTGGTTGCGAATATCATGGCCTGCATCAAAAGCAAGGGAATGCCCTGTTGGGGTGAATCCGAAGTTGTATCGAGGCAATACATACTCCAGAAGATACCTTCGTCAAGGAAGGGGAGACGAGGGTGCACATGCAAGAAATACAGCGGCATAAACTCGTCCAATATGACCTTAGATGGAAGACGAAGGCACCCCTTGAGGTCCAGAAAGTGGACATCTTGTTGCAAAAGGAGGCCCCAATTCCCCATGGTCATGAATGAGTAATTGGACCAGTGCCACTCATTCGATCTGGCTGAAGCTATGTGCTTCTTGGCTGCTTGGACAGGGCAAAGCAGCGGAGAATCAGTTGAACCTGGTGAACTAGGTGCGTTGGCAAGAAGAATTCCTGCTTCCAATCCAAATCAGATCATGTACTCTGGGAAGATAGGTGGTTTGTAGGGGCTCGATTACCAGATGCCACGCCTGGCTCTGTCTGCACTGGCGTCCACGTCACCGCGTTGGCCGAAGACATCGCCATAAGCAAAGGCCTGCTGTCGTGGCGCAGATCCGACCTGACACCCGCCTCAAGGCTGCTCACCCCAGCGACGCCACGTTCAAGGTGCTCGGGAGAGTTGCTCATCTTCTTCGCCCCCGTCGGTGAGTACGAGCTGCCGGAAACATCCCAAAGTATACCGGGGTTTCGAGGCCGCGGGCTGCCACGATAAACTTTCAGCCATGAAATTAAAGGAATAATAAGGTAACACCAGCTCCTCTCACCGTTTGGTCATCCTCTGAGTGATGATGCAACTCTTGCCGTCCAGAGAGCAATTGGTGCAAGGAGACCCGCAAATAACAACATCACAGCGGACTTTCCTTTGACGGCAAGATAGACAGGCTTTTGTAGCCCTGCGACGAACTCGGACTTGGCTCATGGTTTCAAAAAAGGCTTGAGCTGTGAAGCCCAATGAATATGCTCTTTGCTATTTGTGTTGTTATCAATTGAGACTTGTGGCTGAGAGCGTGATTCAGGAGAGAAAGCTTAGAATATGCTCTTCACAGTACCGCCGGCGATTTAAGTCGTAGTTCAACTGGTAACAGTCAAGCATTCTATGGCCTAAACTTTGTACCCTGCTAGCCTGGGTACCTAGTAACCCGTCGTGAAAGCTAACAGGCAGTTAAGAAGCCTCGAGTATTGCGGCTTTTAGGAATCCGACCCATGGTCATCTCTGCGTCAGAATGTGCGGCACCGAGCTCGGCGACGAATTTGTGGCTGTGCCCGAGCTGATGAACTCTGGCATTATCTACACGGACAACCCCATAATCTGATATCGGTGCTGAAAAAACTACGCTCTGCACAATAAACTGATGAGGTCCGAGGCAATCTGAAGGATCGTTGGGTGTGCCCAGGTTATTGAATAGGACCTGTACTGTAGATTAGACTAAGCATTCTTTCACATGGACAACCCGATTTATTACTCATATGGGAGTAATCCTCACTTTGAAGGTCCTGAAATATCGTTACCGCTTACAGACTTGGCATTTAGCTGTATTTATGGCCGGAAAGATCGCTCTTTGTGTCCGTCTAGTATATTCTCTACTGTGGACGGTCAAATGTCCACTACGGAGGAAAGCAGTTTTCTATATACTCAGTATACAGTACCTCAAGCAGAGGGCTATAAACTATACAACAGTCGCATTACATATAAAATGCGTAGCAGCTTAATAAATCCTAAAACTAAAATACATATCTAGCTCTAATCTCTATAGCCTTAAGATTAAGTTAAATTTATAAGAATTATAATTTTTAACTATAATTACAAAAGGTTAATAATATATTTCAAAATTAAATACTATAATGTAATATTATTTATTTTATTAATAATATTTTTATTTATATAATTATTAATTTACCTTATACATAAAATATATTCAACTTTATGTTTAAAATTAACAGGCTAGTAACTATAAGCCTTAGTTATTATTAGCTACACTATCTTCTTTAATATAGCCTTAGATAGTAAGAGTATAGTGTAAAGAGTGAAGATTGCAATGCCGACCGGTCCATGTGTCCACTATTTGGCGGCGCCGAACTGGGTGCCCTATGCCGAACCTAATGCACCTTGGCCGCCAGGCCTAAGTCTCCTCTCCACCAGTATCCATAGGCCAAGGAACTTTACCCTGTAGGTTTATTTACACTGGTTTGTGACCACGATGCCCAATTATGTTGGGTCGAGAATGATCCGCAATAATAAATTGCGTCAACGTTAGGGACAATTTCCAGCCGAACTGCTGTCTATCTCTCTTTACCTGTCTCTGTTACACTCTCTTCTCTACTCCACACCTGTTGGGTTAATCCAAGTTCCTCACCATGGACGATCCTGAGCAATTCACATTGCCATACTCAGTGCCCGCTGAGAGCCGAGCAATACTATTAGAATCGCTTATTGGCAACAGTCTCCATAGCAGTCTCCCAGCTGAGGCAAAGGAGTTCGCTCATCATGTTCGATTTGAAGGCTCAAGTCTTCCGTGTCTGCCAATCAACTGGAGATTCGCAGAGAGTGCTGCATCCCTCAAGGCTCTGGAAGCAGTCCTCATCAACGTTTTGATCAGCCGCAAGTACGGCCAAGGCCCATTTCCTGTCACTATCGACACGGATCACGCCCAACTGTTCTTCATGTCTTCCTTAGTAATCGAGACCAACCCGGACCCTGCTTCAGCAATACAACCGACTCCGATTCGAGAACTCACGGAAAAGTATAGCCACTATTTTCCTAACCGAGATCTGCACCAGATGGCATCGTCCCCTTTTCGCAAGGCCGTCACAAATATCTACAAGACTAAAGATAATCGCTTCTTCCATCTGCACGGAAGCCTGAATCCTGATCCAAGTCTGGAGGCTATTGGATTTCCGTCAGACAACAAGGAAATACAAGATATTGTGTCGTCGTTTGTCCCATTTATGAAGCGCATAGCTGAGAATGACGCGGAGACGTGGGATAATCTACTTGGGGATAAATACAAGCAAGCTGCCACCATATGCCTCAGTAAAGAGGAATATGCAAGCAGCGCCCAAGGCCAGGTCAATGGTAAAGTTGGGCTGTACAGAGTGCAGAGACAGGACTCGAGACACGCAGCGGGCTGGTGGGAGCCATCCAAGGACACCTCAGTCGAGAGACCTCTAGCAGGGCTCAAGGTCGTGGACTTGACCCGCGTCATTGCTGGGCCTGCTATTGCAAGGGGCCTGGCCGAGCTTGGGGCCAGTATCATGAGAGTCACCGCCCCGCACTTGCCAGACTTCTCTGGTCTGCACCCAGACCTCAACTGGGGCAAATGGAACTGCTCTCTGGACCTGCGGCAGGAAGAGGACCGGGAAAAGCTGCGCCATCTTATACAAGAGGCTGATGTGGTCGTGAATGGCTATCGGCCTGATGCATTGACCAAGTACGGGTTCGGTCCGGCCGAGGTCTTCTCCCTGATCAAGGATCGCAAGAGAGGCATCATCTACATTCGCGAGAACTGCTTTGGTTGGGACGGCCCGCTATCCCATCGCAGTGGATGGCAGCCTATCAGCGATGCCCACTCAGGAATCTCCATGGGCTTTGGGCGAGCCATGGGCCTCGACGAGCCTGTCACTCCTGTGTTTCCCAATTCCGACTACTGCACTGGTAAGTGCCACTAAAGACTTGACTAATCGCTACAAGGCATTTAGTAATAATGCTTCTTCTAATAGGCATAGCGGGGACATGTGCTATACTCGAGGCACTTGTAGACCAGTCGGAGAGCGGTGGTTCTTATCTCATCGACACATCTCTGAACTACTACAACCAGTGGCTGGCCCAGTCTGTGGGTGAGTATCCCAAGCCAGTCTGGGATCATGTTTGGAGTCAAACAGGGCACGAGGTGTTCCGACACTATCACAGCATGAACCATACTATACCGCGATTCATCCAGAAGATGAAGCAAGACGGCACGTTGCTGAATCCCCGGTTTTTCGAGATGCGGGAGTCGGCAGCCCTTGGGGGCCTTGTTTTTCGCACACCAAAGGCAGTACTCCGCTTCCCGCCAGGCACGGTGAAGCTCGGGTACAATGTAGGGACTCGCGGGAACGGTGTAGACGAACCACGTTGGCCTTCGGACCTTGGGACGGAAATCGTTAGCAATGTCAGCCGGTAGCAAACGGGCTATACAGGAAATATTATATAGTCTCTTCGTTAAATACAGGTATGGAAGTCTATCTTCAGGATGAAGTCCAAATCACATTGAGATAAACCTTCAAGACTCTTTTAAGCATAGCAACTAAACTGCTGCCTGCCTACTATCGAAGTAGGTAGTAAGTCCAATATATAAAAAGGGGAAAGGGACTGCGAGTTACAATAGGGTAATAGCGAAACATAATCTAATGATATTTCCCCTGCTTGCTAACGATGTACTAAATGTTGGGTTTAGGTGCTTGTTCGAATGTGACGCTGGCCTTGGAGTGTTCTGCAACAGATAGCAGCGCACCAGATTCCTTGTCCCTCATCTGACCCCATATGGTCACGAATCGTTCTCCAATGTGCAGTACTTGGCACTCTACAAGGATTTCTCTGCCTGCTGGTGCCGGTCTAATGTAGGTAACGGACAGGTTCCGGGACACGCCCCCAAACTCCCAAAACCCCTTCCTGGAGAGCGGCGCTGCGCTCATGGTAGTGCACATGTCATATAAAAGTGCAATAGCGCCTCCATGGATGTTTCCGAGACGGTTGGAAAGACTCTGCCCGGCTCTGAGCAGGAAGACGGCGGCTGCTGTCTTGTTGTCTGGCGAGGTCTCGGCGGACACGACCTCGAGGTTATTGCGCATAACCTCATCGTCAAAGCCCTGCAAGGGAAGTTAGTCAATTAACTATGATTCATGTTATGATTTCATGTATAAAAAATAAACACATATAGAAAGGGCAGAGTACAGCGCTTACCGCGCCTTTGTCCGAACTGTTGCGGTATGTTTCCAGATACGACCGGATTCGTAGGACAGGATCTGCAACGGTTACATCAAATGTGATGCCTGGAATAGAAAGAAGGTCATTAGAGTAGCGTCTCGATGATTTTGAGGTGGTCGCCATTGCTTTTCTGCACGTAATGGGATTTGAACGTTGGGGAAGCTTAAGGTTAAGGTCTGGGAGCTTTGCCCGCGCCCCGCCAAAGGTTTAGAGGCTATACCGTAAGGGGTATATATTTCTTACCGAGGAAAAAGCTGTTGAAGGGGATGTGTGTGTATTGAATGTGGCTAACTAAGGTCTTGGGCCGAGTGGTCCGGCTGATATACGAGGTAGGTGCCTCAGGCACCTTCAACCAAAGCTACTGGTATACCTAGCTAAGCGCTACCTACGTGGCGTCTCGGCACCGAGACACACCACCAACTCCCTGTCCTCCTATATACCGAGTCAAGGTATCTTTAGCAAGCTGTTTAGTCCTGGATTAATTACACAAGGTAGGCTACTAGACAAAAAAACCAAGAGGCAGAAAAGTAATCCTCACCTTCTAGTCCTCTCCTCTTTAACCCTAACTACAACTTCCGCGTAGTCCAAACCCCAACCTTACTCTTCGTCACCGATCCCCTAAGTCCACCGCTACCTCCACTGTTATCCTTACCGCCATGCCACAGCAACTTACTATTGATAAGATCGACGGGAAACCGGGATCTGTCTACTACCCACTCAGGCTCAGAGAAGTGCCCAGACCAATCCCAGGACCCAATGAGTACTTAGTGCGCATTCACACAGCTGCCATTAACCACCGCGACTTCTTTATCCGCCAGCACCTATACCCGGCCATCTCCTTCACAAATCCACTGTTGGCCGATGGCTACGGCACGGTCGTTGAGGCTGGCCCCGGCGCCGACTCTGCACTGTTGCACACGCCCGTGCTGCTTACCCCTTGCCGCGGCTGGCATTCGAGCCCGGACGGGCCCGATGGCGACGTGACCTTTGCTACTCTCGGCGGCACGCAAAGCACCCCGCTTGGCACCGCCCAGGACTACATCGTCGTTCACGAGTCCGAGGTCGAGCCCGCCCCAAAGCATCTAAATCCCACGGAGGCAGCCGCCTTGCCTCTGGTCGGCCTGACGGGCTGGCGCGCCTTGGTCACCAAGAGCGGCGGCAACGCTGAGCCTGGCCGCAACATACTTATCACTGGCATTGGCGGTGGTGTCGCTTTGCAGGTCCTGCAGTTCGCCGTGGCCCGTGGCTGCAATGTCTGGGTCACGAGCGGCGACGAGGCCAAGATCCATCGGGCTGTGCAGCTTGGGGCTCGTGGCGGTGTCCTCTACCGCAATTCCGACTGGGACAAGGAGCTACTGGCCCTGCTGCCAGCCTTGCGCCCCTACATTGACGCCATTATAGACGGTGCTGGCGGCGACATAGTCCGCCGTGGGGTCCGCCTCCTCAGGACTGGCGGTATCATCTCCTCGTATGGCATGACCGTGGCCCCTAAAATGGACTGGCTCATGCAGGCCGTGATGAAGAACATCGAGTTGCATGGCAGCACTATGGGTTCCCGCCAGGAGTTCCGTGAAATGGTCGAATTTGTCCGCCAGCACCGTATCAAGCCTGTGGTAAGTCGCACCGTCAAGGGTTTGGACAACCTCGACGCCATTGACGGCCTGTTTCAAGATATCAGGGACGCCAAGCAGTTTGGTAAGCTGGTCATTGAGATATCTTCTCCTAGCAACAGCGAGACGATGAGCTCTAAGCTTTGAATGAGTGAGGATTATCTAGATTCAGGGTGTTTTTACATTTCTCAAGTTCTATATATTTATCAGATCAACTTCTCTTTTATGAACTTGGATGTATTAGATCACTTTCTTCCTTATGAAGGGAATAACACTTAGCGCACTGTCAAGATCTTGGTAACATTCGCCCGCACCTAAGTATCAAGAATAGGTAATCCGCAGGCAATTGTAAAAGACTCCAAACCATGAAAACAATACTGTAGGCCTTATAATGAACAAGAAAATAAGCTATAGGTGGTGAGTTTGACCAAGGGGAATCAATCATTACGCATGGTGTTCCTCGAATACGGCCCCGAAAACAGGTTACCCCAACATGCTGAGAGGCTGATATTCATTTTCAGCTTCATTCAATAGCGAGTTGTTGGGGGAGACTAGGCTCTTTGGGCCTTTGATGTATGGTTGAACGCGGAGCGCTCGAAAACAACATATTGCAGCGAATATAACAAAACTTTGATCAATTCTTCAATATACATCTACTCCACATTGAAATCCCCGAGGAAAGCCCAATGTAGCTTTCTCTTCCAGTCGTTTTCAGGCTTCTTCCATTCGTTGATCGTCTTCGGGTACAGGTCAATGACACTCTGTGCATCAGAATCGTGCGCAGTAAGCACAAGGACATCATCACTCGCATCGAATTCGTCGAGCTTTCGCTGACTCTGCGTGGCCTCGCGAACTGTGTCTGAGTCATTCGGGTTGTTCAATTGGTAAAAGGGTTCCGTCTTTGACTTTTTTGGATGCACGTCCAGGAATGGCTGTCCTGGGCAAGGCATTCGGCGTGGGTATTTGGCACTATGCACTAGAGGGTTTGGATCGATGACATCAGGCAAAGGGAAAAATGGGGACGGTCGGAATTCGCCGCCGTGGTGGCAGCAGTCGGCGGCCATGAGAACAAATGATGTTGGTGTTGTGCGGGCGAGGCCCATCATGTGAGCGATGGTGTGCCCTGGGCAGTCGAGGAGATAGAATGAGCCGTCTCCAAAATAGTCGAATGCATCATATTGGCCAATCTTGAGACCAGCGGTCGTGAAGTCGATTTCATGGACCTCACGGCCAGCATAATCGCTTTCCAGGATCCAGGCATCCTCGCGTGCAGGATAGCCCGGGAAGAACTCAGCTTTGAAACCCTGCCCAATCACAAGCGCGGTCTTAGCTGGGAATCGGGAAGGATCCCCAATGTGGTCGAAGTGATGATGTGACCAAATAATTTCGGTGATAGTGGAAATCTCGTCATCACCCAAGATATCTGCCACGTTGCGCTCCGATGAGATTTTCATGGCCTTTGTAAAAGCGTACGTCTTCGGTGCCAAGTTCTCGGGGTCCTTACGGATGCCTAGATCGAAAAGGACCTTTCTGCCGGTAGTCGGGTGAGTGACGAGAAAGCAATAGCATGGACAGTTGAACTCGTCATGGCCGGAGATGTGTGGTGTGACAACAAGGCTGGTCTTTGCCTTGATGGTAGATGTCGTGTCAATCACTGCTACGGAAACCGTAGACTTGGAGTCTGGAATATTGAGTTGTGGCTGAGGAAGGCTCATTTTCATGACTCTAATGCTCTGATAATGGGAATTGTCTGCACTTGGAAGAATCTTCTTTCTCCCTTTGACCTTTGCTTGTTTTGTATACTAGGTGGCGGTTATCAGTGAATATCATCAAGAAAAATGACAGTCATAAACCATAAGCATTGCCGAGCGTTTATAGAACACAACTGTCCCTCGTGTATACAACGTGTCGGCGCCGAGATGCGCACTAGACGGTGCCGAGGGATGTTTGATACAGAATCGACAAACCGCAGGCGCGGTATGCCATCTTAGCTGGACATGGCCGTGCCCGGTGAAACTCCAAAAGTCATTATAAAGACCGTTAGAAGTGCCGTAGTCATCAGCTACTACCCTGCAAGATCATCATCACAGAGACACTTAGCTTCTACACTGCACCATGTCTCTTCAAGTTTACAAACCAGGAACAATTGACTGCACCACAGAAGTGGATCTTTCCAGCATTCGTGGCAAGAGTGTCATTGTCACTGGAGGTACTGATTCAACTTCATAATTCGTCGCTGTGCTGCATCTAACGTTGGTGGCCAGGAGCGAAAGGCATGGGCGAGGATGGAGTCAGGGCATTTGTCTCTGCTGGGTGACAGACTCCGTCTCTGAGCTTCCTGCATGCCATGCTGACTATGCTTTAATTAGCGCTTATGTGACGTTCGGCGATACTGATATCGAAAATGGGGAGAAACTCGAAAAGGAGCTCGGCTCGTAAGTCCATCCTCAAGTATATTGCTATCCCGCAAAGCGAATTCTATCGCCAACCTTGACTTGTCAGCGACGCAAAATTCAGTCCATGCGATGTCACCTCCTGGGAGGACCAGCTAGCCATGTTCCGCAGCGCAATAGCCAACTCGCCCCGGAAGTGTGTCGATATCGTGGTCGCCAATGCGGGCATCAGCGGGCCCGACCCAGCTTTCACCATTGAAGGTACGGGGAGAATTGAATGCGACACTGCCACATCCAGCAACGCCTACGATACTGACATTCGCTTTTTTATGTGAAATAGATTCCGATGAGCCCACCAAGCCTGAGCTCAATATCCTCGCCATCGATCTGATCGGCGTCATCTACACGCTGAAGCTAGCACGCCACTACTTCTCCAAAAATCCTCTCAATGACGAGATCCACGACAGGTGCTTCATTGTAAATGCCAGTCTCGTTGGCTTCTTGGATGTGCCAGGCATTCTGCAGTACATGGCGTCCAAGTGGGGATGCCGAGCACTTATGAGATGCGTGCGCCGAACCACTGTCGTTGATGGCATCAGGATGAACTTGACAGGACCATGGTGAGCGCTGTTCACTCGAAGACATACGGGCATGCTTTCAGAATGTTAGCTAATCCTTTCTTTTTTTCCTCCTCCAGGTACGTTGGAACTACCATCCTGAGCCCAACGGTTCAAGAGTACTGCAAGAGCAAAGACATTGTCTTTGCCGAATCCAGGGATGCTGCTGCGGCATGGCTCAAGATTGCGTCGGACCCATCAATCAATGGTAAGTGGGCGATCCGGCAAAAGGCGACATTTCTGTCCCAAGAGAAGGTGTATTTCCTACCTTGAAGCTAACCAACCACCGTTCTAGGACGGTCTTTTGCCATTGTACCTCGTGATATGGCACCCAAAGGTTATTTTGACATTGGAAAGGACGATTATGGCGAAGGCGAGACCTTGGATCAGCTCCAGGATGTCTTGCTGCGCACGTCCCACAGACTGCAAGTTAAGGCGGAGGACCAGTGATGGCGGTAATGACGGGCTCACCTATTTGATTTGTAACCTCTTGAGTATTGCATCTGTCCGCACGATAGCTTCTAATGAAGGACCGCAATGCACGAACCATGATGAAAAAGGTGTTGCATGGAAATATGTACAAGGAGAATAATCTCTTGTTCAATGGTTGCCGCTCGAAATAGCTCAAGCCAGGCTGTGCAGCGACCTCTTTCAGGATCTCAGTTCTTCGTACCGCATCCTCTTCGCTACATGAATCAATGAATCTCAGTTGATATCGCAAGAAGAGTTTGCCATTGTTAGTGTGTATTGAAGGCCTGCACAGTCGGTAGATACTTGCTCTTGCCAGAGGTCCCATCTCTTGACGGTGCGCAACTTCTCAGCTACTGCCTCGGACTACCATATCGCATGACCAAACTCCCACCGTGCTCAAACCCAAAGCCATGCAGGACTGGATCGCCATTAGGAAGACTCCAAGTGCCGTGATAGATCTGCAGGGCAATCGCGCACACGCGGTCAGAAATGCTCTCCGGTGCCAGTTCTATCCCACTCACCTGATTATTCTTCTTCAGATTCAACAAAAACGGAGTAACAGCAAGCTGTCCGTCTGGTCCAAAATACTGAATGCGCCAGTCTCCCTCGAAACTAGGCGCGCTTTCCTTCACGGCGTCATCATTTTCATGGTCTGCGCCCCTGCGAATAGCACGACCTGTGCCAGTTTGGTTAGTACTGGTAGTCCGGCTCGATACCCATCTTGCGTCTATAATTGCCCTCCCCGACTTGTCGCGTCCAAGGATGTAAGTCACTACCCCGTCGAGCACCAGCTCCTTTTCGATAGCCGAAAGTGAAGTCATAGGGAATGCAGATGGCCGTTTTAATTACTTGCTCAAGGGGGGGAAAGAAATATGGGGAAGCCTGAATTCAGGCCCAGGTACATTTCAACATCTCATCGACTATTTATCCCTTCTTCACTTCCTAATTATCCATTTAACTCTGCGCTCCAAACACTGGGGCTGTCTCGCTAAACCCTCGGTGCCGACCTTGCTCGAAAAGGAGGCTACCGACATTGCCGGACTGGTCTAGTTGCCGCTTGACCTTGGGGTAAACCTTTTATTACTACTAAGTAGCCTCAAACCTGCTGCCCTCGCAGAATTCCTTAACATACTCGAATAAGAATAGTAGATAACGTCGGACTACCATGCAACCTATTCAGCCCCCTCAGAACTGCTCCATAGAGGAATTCCTCCTCGAGGAAAAGTATGGGAGACATGCCATTCAGGCATCGCTAAATCCCTTCACTTGCGGCTTTACATCAAAGACCCGGACAACAGTCGAGGCCAAGCAGTTGGTGACAGAACTCGCCCAAGGGCTTGGCGATAAGCTCGGATGGCATGCAATCCCTAGTGATCAATTGGAGAGGGTGGTTTGTATTTTCTCAGCCAACTCGGTATATTGTCCCCCATCCTCACGCTACCTGCCGTAGAGAAGGGGCAAGTCAATCTGACAAATACTCAGATCGATACGGTGCCAGTTGCGTGGGCGATTCATCGTTTATCCGGGATTGCGACCCCAGCCAGCAGCCTTTCATCTGCGACAGAGCTATCCTCGCAACTTGTCTCGTCAAATGCAAAGGCCATCTTCACCTCTCCAGCGCTTCTCCAAACGGCGCTCAAGGCTACTCGCGCGACAAAGATTCCCGACAGCCATGTATTTATCATCGAACCGACAGAAACGACGCCAAGGCCCGTCCATTCGCAACCCTTCAAATCTGTTCAAGACTTAGTAAATCTGGGGAGGACTCTGCCCCTTGTGGCCCAGTCGAGATGGCAAGATTCTCGTCAGAACCAGGAGCAGCTAGCGTTCTTGGCCTTCTCCAGTGGGACATCTGGCTCACCGGTAAGTCAGATCCCATGGCCCAGCAACGTTAAAGTTCCACTGACAAACCATGCGATGACCCAGAAAGGTGTCATGTTATCCCGCAAGTGCGTGATAGCCAATATAATGCAATGCAGCAGGGCCAATCAAATACCTGACAGCGCCCCACGCCGCAAGTGCTTGTGTGTCCTCCCACAGAGCCATATTTACTCTCTGGTGGTCATCTGCCAGGCTGAAATCTATGCTGGATCAGAAGTTGTCATATTCCCTTCTTTCCAGCTGGATGTCGTGTTATCTGCGATTCAAAGGCTGAAGCTCACGACTCTGTTTCTGGTATAGCCACCCACCCAGGAACTCCTTGCCCTTAGCGTTTCCCCGATCGACTAACCGTTGTTCGTTGATAGGTGCCCACGATCATGGTCAACATACTCTCTAATATGGACACAGTGGCCAAATATGACCTGAGTAGTTCGGTGGAGATGTTCATCGGTGCTGCTCCTCTCGGCCCAGAGATCCTCGTCAAAACGAGAAAGTTGTTCCCATACTGGAAGGTTCTCCAGGGCTATGGTAAATTCACCTCTCCCTAGCTTTGACTTGACCTGTATATGGCTTTGATAGAAAGGCGCTGATGGACTCTCGAACATAGGGCTGACCGAAGCTGGGGCGGTGGTAAGCCTTTCACGCAGAGACGATATTTGGCTAGGCTCGTCTGGAGTACCTTTGGACGGCATTGAATGCCGCTTACTTTCCGACGACGGCAAGGAGCTCAAGGATCTGGGACATCCTGGAGAACTTGTTATCAGATCGCCAGCCCTTGCCAGTGGCTATTTCTGCAATGAGGAGGCTACCCAGGAGACATTCCAGAATGGGTGGCTACGCACTGGAGATCTCGCGCTCCTGAAAAGAAGCTCCAAGGGGAATCTACATTTATTCATTGTAGATCGTATTAAGGACCTCATCAAAGTAAAGGTACCATGGTCATCACTCGGTTTTCTTCTGATAGTCCTGGCACTGCTGACTTTACTATTGTCCCAGGGGATGCAGGTGTCGCCCACAGAGCTCGAAGCGCATCTTCTCCTCCACCATGGGGTTGAAGAGGCCGCGGTTGTAGGTATAGACGACCCAGTCGCCGGTGAGATCCCCAAGGCGTTCATTGTGCGATCGACAAGCAGTCAGGCGCAGTCCACCCAAGACCTGTCATCCTCGATCAAGAAGCACGTGGAAGAGAACAAGGCAAAGTACAAGTGGTTGAGAGGTGGCATTGAGTTTGTTCAGGAGTTACCAAAAACGCCCAGCGGTAAGATCACTCGCCGAGCCCTGCGTGATGCCGCAAGACGCAAAGCCAAGAGCGTAAAGACAGGCTCCCATCTGTAGTAGTTAGATAGTACTCCCCCATAGTTTGGCTCGTGTTGTTATAAATAAAGGATTCTCATCACAGGCTTGAACATAGTTCATTGCGACGCAGATAGATGCTCGACATGACCAAATTCGGGGATACTTACACGTTTACGCTAGTCAGATTAAGTCAAGACGTAATGCTCGGCGCCGAAAGTTTAAGGCTTCACCATGATCCATGCAGCTAATTAATCGCCATTTTCTGCCTTGGTTCGGGTTAGGACCGAGGTTGTAGTTGTTAAAAGCTACCTCGGCTCTTTAGGCCTCGTATATAGCAGCCCGGCACCGAAGAATACAACAAAGGGTAATGATGGATTGGTGGAGCTTGTGACTGGAATGGCATCGATGTCTCAGTCAGTTGTATTTAATCCAGTAGCAACATACGCCAACTCCATACTTCTTACCCCCAGAATCATCAAAAGGGATTTCCAATAAGGTCATTGTATTCAAGTCAGTATAGCCATGGCGCCAGGTCAAAGCAAGCAGCAGACGTACGTCCTCGGCGTAGGTCTGACTAAGTTCATTAAGCCCCGTGGCCAAAGGGATTACCCTGAGATGGGCTATGAGGCTGGGCTGAAGGCCCTGCTTGATGCCCAGATCAATTACGACGAGGTCCAGGCAGGTATTGCGTGCTTCTGCAATGGCGACTCGGGCTCCGGCCAACGCGTTTTCTACCAGTACGGCATGACCGGCATCCCTATATACAACACCAACAACGCTTGTGCCTCGGGATCGAGTGGTATCTACCTCGCCCGCACTCTGATCGAGAATGGCGCTGCCGACTGTATCCTGGTGGTCGGGTTCGAGAAGATGCAGCCTGGCAGCATCACCAGCCCCTGGACCGATCGATCGCGACCGACGGAGCTCAGCGGCAAGATGATGGATCATTTATGGGGAACAGCTCCGGGCTCTCTCAACCACCAATACTTTGGAAACGCTGGGAGGGAGTATATGAACAAGTATGTAACCCCACTGTATCTAAAAGAGACTGGTCTGACCATTTTTGTGTGTACAGGTATGGAGCCAAGGCCGAAGACTTTGCAGAGATTGGCCGTATCAGCCACGAGCACTCGCAGCGTAATCCATACGCACAGTTCCGCCAGAAGTATACCCTACAGGAAATTCTCGATGCGCCTATGATCTTTGCGCCATTGACCAAACTCCAATGCAGTCCCACAAGCGATGGTGCAGCGGCAGCCGTCATCGTGTCTCAGAAGTTCCTAGATGCTCGGCCTCACCTCAACCAAGCCATCCTCATTGCTGGCCAGCAGCTTGTCACTGATAAGCCCGCGCTCTATGCTGGAAGCTGTATGGACTTGATCGGCTATGACATGAGCAAGCGAGCTGCCGAGGCTGCGATGAAGCAAGCAGGCATCACCCCAGCCGATGTGAAAGTCTGCGAGCTGCACGATTGTTTTTCGGCCAACGAGCTCATCCTGCTTGAGGCTCTGGGTTTCTCCGAAGTCGGCAAAGCGCACGAGATGGTGCGAAGAGGAGACATTACGTATGGAGGCCAGGTCGTAATTAATCCATCAGGCGGACTCATCTCTAAGGGGCATCCGCTAGGCGCCACAGGGCTCGCACAATGTGCAGAGTTAGTTTGGCAGCTCCGAGGCTGGGCTAATAACCGGCTGGTCGAGGACATTGACGTAGCTTTGCAGCACAATCTCGGCCTGGGCGGTGCTACCGTGGTGACGGTGTATAAGCGCATTGGGGGAAAGAAGAGCAGCAAAGTCAGTAACGAAGAGGTAGCGAGAACAACATGGCACGGGTACAACCCTGCCGTGGAGGCCAGAGGCGTCAACGAGGCTGATGCGGCCAGGGTTCGGAGCAAGACGTGCAGCAGCGAGTGGGCACGCTCCGATGTGCAGAGCAAGGTAGAGCCACACCTTTGACAGACTAATTACGGGCATGTCTATGAGGAGTCTCATGCAAAGAGTACATGTGCGGTCGCAGCATCAATCTAGCAATATAGTGAATTGATTGATAGTTAAAGCTTATGATATCTTAACGAGATATATTTAGCTAATATACTGAAAAATACCAATTAACTTTAGGCTTCTAAAGCCAATATAGACATAGCCTCAATAGAAGTAAGTCTCCAAATTAAGATTAAAATAATATACTTTTATAATAACTTAATTAGTAACCTTATAAACAGCTGCTAGGGTATAAGAAGCCGGCCTGATCCCTTATTGCTAGAAGCAGAAGAAATTCAGATAGTAAGAGTAGACCAACGAGCACTAAGTCAGCTAATACCGCCCACTGAACAGAAAAAAGAATAAATAGTGTTTCGTGATCAGCATCTCTGGAAAGGCACTGATAGACAAGGGAATACAGTGAGAGTTGAATCGCCTGGAAGTGAACCCATTAACGGGTAACGAGAAGCAGATCTATCTGCATTGGCCCCGGACGTTATGTATATTTCGAGAACTATATATATATATACATATATATATACTCACAGTTTAGCTTCCTTCCCCTTGGCCTTCAGAGCTTTAGTCTCCGCTTGGAAATTGGCAATCAATTGGCGTACAGACAGGTCCAGCAAGACATCCTCGCTTCCTCCAGGGATCCTCGCTCCAGGAACTTCACGGTAGATGGCTGTCAAGTAATGCACGTTAGTCTCGGGGTCAAGTATCTTAGGTAGTAAGGACGTACTCTCAACAATTTCTCCCTGCCCAGTCCGCGTATAGCCCTTCCCGCCAAAGAGCAGCACTGCGCAGCGGGCGCACTCATCTAAGACTATACCTGCGTTGGCTTTGCTTAGAGCAAGGAACCCCCCAAGTTGACGATCAGCTTCGGCCTTGTCCATGTGTGCCAGCTGGTACACGAGTAACTCAAGCCATGCCGTGTGCGATTCCAACATTGCTGCACATTTGGCAAGCCTATGGCGGACTACAGGCTGGCCTGTCAAAGGCTAGAACAAAAGAGCAGAGGATGTTAGCACCATCAACCATCATGACAAGGCAGAGCAGGGGCAGGGTATTCATCATCAAACGTACCTTTCCGAAAGCTTCTCTCATAAGGCAGTACTCAAAGGCCGTGCTCAGAGCAACTCTGGCCTGCCTCGTGATGCCGACACCGAAGAACATGCGCTCATGGTTGAAGTTGCGCATGATATACTGCATTCCTTGACCCTCTTGGCCGATGAGGTTCTCACGCGGGACTTTGACCTCGTCCAGCTCAATATACGTGGTTCCAGAGGTGACGCCGCCGCCGACCTTCATTCTCCGGCGGCTCACGCCTTCTGTGTTGGCCAATGGAACGGCCATCAAGGAGATACCCTTGGCTCCAGAACCCTCTGGCCCAGTACGAACAGCCATGGTGCCATAGTCGGCCCATATACCGTTGGTGATCCATTTCTTAGATCCATTGACAATATAGTATTTACCGCACTCACTCAGCGTGGCGGTTGTAGTAATGTTCGCAACGTCAGAACCTGCACTAGATGTACGTAGGACAGTCAGTTCAAGCGGTGCTTTCGGCAAATGAGACGCGGTGCAGCATCGATACTGAGGGAGGGTTGGGTAAGACTACTCACTCGGGTTCAGTAACTGCGATGCATGATCGTGTCTTTCCAAGCAGCAGATCTGGGAGGAGTCTTTCTTGCAACTGCCTGTCCGCATAATGTATCAGAGGCGGCACACCGTAGGCCATGCCGGCAGAGATTGAACCGCTAGGCCCAGACAATCCGGAACGATTCATCTTTGCATATTGTTAGTGTCTCATTGACTCGAGGTGTATGGATAATAAGGAAATGGGCAGAGAGGCGTCGGGCAGGGGTAGCAGAAGCCGTACCTCATCAGAATAAATCATACAGTGAAGAGTATCCCATTCTTCAAGTGCAACGCCACCAGGCATCTCGTTGATACCCAAACGCCTCAGCCATTCAACTGGCAGAGGAGCAGGGAGAGCGGGGATTACAAAGTTCCCTTTAACAAAGGTGGCAAATAGGTCTTCGGGTACGTCACCCTCCCTCTCCCACTCTATTGCATGTTTGTGGAGGTGCTCTGATATGAAGGCACGGCACGCACGCTGGAATCGAAAGTGGGATTCCTTGTAGAAGGGGGATGGAAGGTTGCGAAGCCAAGACGGCTCTGCTAGCGGAATCTGCGGCTCCATACTGTTGTGACTGCTTAAAATATTGCGTAGCTCTGGTGGTGAATCCGTGGTATTGAACGATAAGCTCCAATATTCTCAATACTGCAAACTGACATGGAAGGAACCCGCACTTACATATCAAGGGCAGACTTATGCCGACCTAGCATAATCCCGAATTAGCCGGATACAGAATCTTCCCGAGGGTTCATTCGCCAAGAGATTCAGGCACTAACTACGGCTTCAGTGGCATGTCTCCAAAATTGGTTTGGATCCAATCTGCGACAAAGCTCAAGTCGGCGCCGACTAGTTTGAGGCCTTTCAACCCCCTCGGCACCGACAATGGCTAACGCTTAGGTAATGCCCCTTCTTGTTGACCCCGATTTCCTCAGGTGTTAAGATAATTGTAAGAGCATACAAACCCTACTATATCAGGAGATGAACAATTTTTTTACTATATTAATAAGAATTTAAACATCACTTACTGGCTTTATAGTAAAGGAGGAACTTTTTATGATAACTATAATATTCTTAAGTAAGATTTATACTTTAATATAAATTAATTTAAGCTATAAAATATGTATATTACTTAATATCTCTAATGAAACAGTTAAAATAATATTTAAGGCTAAACTGAAAATCAAAAATATAGCTGCTTTAGGTTACTTATTTAACTCTTATATATATTTCTCTCTATAGCTAGTTGTTTTATCTAGAGATGAGGCTATAAGCTTATTAATCTTATTTGCAGCTACTATTACCCCGAGCTTCTCACTTAGTATAAAGACTTGTCTCTGGCGCTCTATGGTCTATTGCTTATGGTGAAAGCTTCTGGTCAAAGCCTATGTCGGGGAAAGGATTATCGTGTTCTCATTCATCACCTATGTTCACAGCCTAAAGCTTAACTTTATAGGCGGCAGCCATCTCCATAGACATCTTATCGTTATCGTACAGAATGTGACTTGCACCCAAACAAGCAAGCCAATGGCTACTGGAAACCATTCTTCGACACATATGCCATTTCCCTTACCTTCAACACTGAGGTAATTGCAATCGCTAATGCGTTTATCGAGTGAGGTATCATGCATGGATGCCTTAGGGATGAGCCACATGCTTGGCATTTCCAAAGCCTGATTGGAGTGTTTACGTCTGATCTCAGCTGGATCAGGCTGCATCGAGCGGGGTTTTGCTCCCAGCGTCTAGCATTATCCTTTTCTTCGCACGCCTTTTGCGGAAATCACTTGGTGCTATTTGAAGCTGCGCTACCAGGTTCATCTTTCTCAAACAATAAAGGAACCGTGTCAGGAGCAATGAAAGATACCTTTAGGCGGCTCAGGGTTCGTGCTCGTGAGCGCCTCGAGAGTCTCCGGCCCAGCTCTGATGAAGTCGAGTCACCAGTATGATTCAGCAAAAATGATGGGAAATTTGGTCGCTAACTATCTGGATACTGAATAGGTAATCGAAGGACAAGTAGCCTCTGATCGAATCTCGACCGACTTCCGACAACAGCATTCTGAAATCACCCGACAGGAAGATCGAGTCGACGTTGCAGCAGAACCAGGAGATAACTTTCAATCTGCCTCTCAGTTCGGAACGAACCCTTCACCAATCGAGAACATAGATGGGCCTAGTTGGGCCAATGTCTGGCCGGAGGCATACCAAAACGTCAAGACCGACCCAGAGCATTCAGAGCTTCTGCAAAAGTTGCAGAGATTTCTGGAGAGCGAAGGCGGACGTTTGAAGGCTGGTATGTACTCTGAGAACATATGTATCCGTCATTGCACAAGGCTAAGGATATGCTACCCTAGCAGATGATGTCAAACTATGTGATGATCCATCCGGGGCGACTGATGCCAGTAGTCGGCTCAAGACTATTCAAAAGAATGCAGAAGAGAGGCTCGGAAATTTCTCAGATGCCCATCTTTCCTTCAAAATCCGAGATAAACCTATTGTGGTTCGGGAAAGTATTTTCAAGGTTGTTCAAGTTATCAACACGTTGAAGCCCGTCATTGGTGGGGCTGTTGCAACCGAGCCTTCTGCAGCTTTGGCTTGGGCTGGCATAACAACTATTTTGCCGGTAAGGGTTACCTTTGTTTCGAGACTAGAATCTGTCTAACAAATCTTTACCCAAGATGTTGGAAAATATCTTTCAGCAAGACGAGGATGCGGCGACTGGTCTTACCAACATCATTTTCCTTATGGCCCGATATCAAGGGTTTCATGAACGGGACTTTGCATCCCGACTAGCATCGCCCAGGTATGACCTAACTCCCAAATAATCATTTCTCTAGCTCTGTTCCCTCGATAGAGGGTCTTACTGACTCGCTTTAAGTGAATCTGGCGTCTCGGGTGAGCTACTTTCTCGTATCAGAGACGAGCTTGTTACCGTGTATAGCAAAATATACGTCTACGAAGCTCGGTTTGTTCTCCAGTACGGCAAACGAAACAAAGCACATCGTGCTCTCAGAAATGCCCTGAATGCCGACGACTGGAAGAAGTCTTGGTCCGACATTGAGTCGATTAGCAATCGTATCGATAAGGGTGTAACTTCTCAAGTCAATGCCGCGGCGTTAGAAACCTGGAAGGCAGTCAAACATGTCCAGGAACATGTCGCGATATATGAGGCTATGCAGCATGAAACGTTACAGGTGGTGCAGGTATGCTCTCGTATTTCACTGTTGGTAGTTATTTTGACCTCATGCTTGGACAAATAGGGCTTCGACCGACGACAGCTTTTGCAATCGTTGCAGATTACTGGAAACGCTGTTTTTGACTCACATCGAACTTCAAGAGCGGATGCCTTTTGCATGCCAGGCACTCAGCGTCATATACTGCAAACAATCCAGTCCTGGACCGACGACCCCAACGGAAAACTGATATTCTTGCTGCAAGGGATGGCTGGAACTGGAAAAACGAGTATTGCATTAACAGTTGCCCGTAGTTTGGAGGCAAAGGAGCCCCTTACCGACCCACTCAAACAACCAAGTAAAGCATTTCTTGGCGCGAGCTTTTTCTTTGCTCAAGGCGATGCCACCAGGAACAACATAGCAGAGTTCTTCCGTACAATTGCATGGTGCTTGGCAGATGTCCTCCCAGACGTAGGAACACTCATTGCAAAAGCTATCAAAGACAATCCAGGAATCCATACAAAAGCCTCACAACAGCAGTTACGGAAGCTCATTATAGACCCCCTCGAGTTGCTGGATCGCAAGACCTTCGTCCCACTCCAGCTCGTTATTGTGATAGATGCTCTGGATGAGTGCATAGACGAAGATGCAGAAGATCTGTTAGGTATGCTGGCAAGTCTGGAAAGTCTTCACCAAATCCAACTTCGCCTATTCATTACTAGTAGGCGAGAAGGGCATATTTCCACGGCCATGAAGAACTTGCCTAGCAGGCTGTATCAAATAACCAGACTGAACAAGATCGAATCGTCCCCGGACAACAACGACGATATTGTATTCTACCTCTCCAAGTCTTTGGGTAGTATCGCTACGAGATGGCGCGTCACAGATGGCGGAGTAACTGACGACGATATAAACAGACTGGCTGAGAACGCGGATGGTCTTTTTATCTATGCTGCAACTGCTTGCCGATTTCTGGATTCTCGTCACTTTGTTAACAAGGGGTTTAGAGAGAGACGCTTAAACCTCTTTTTTAAAGATCAATGGGAGACAGAAGGTCCCCAGCACACGATTGATGACATATATCACAAAGTCTTGACCTTTCCAGAAACAGAAGATTGGTCCCAAGAGGAACAGCGACCATTCTACAGTGAAATCAGTCAACTGATCGGCTTCATCGTTGTCCTTTTTCGACCTGCTTCGGTGGAAACACTTTCCCACTTACTCCCAACGGTCGCAACAGAAAATACAACGAGGGACAATCTCGATTACTACCTTGGCCAGCTCCATTCTATTATCGACGTCCCTGAGGATCCTGGATTTCCTATCTCTCTGGTACATCTGTCATTCCGCGAGTTCATTCTCAACGAGAAACGATCGGAAAGACTTCCCTTCTCCGTCAATGAGATTGAAATGCACCGCAAGGTCTTGCATCAATGTTTTGAGCTTATGAACTCAGAGCTTCGGGAAAATATCTGCTGTTTGAGCCTCCCTGGATCAATCGTCTCCGATGTTGAACCTAGTCACATCTCATGCCACATTCCTCAGTACCTGCAGTATGCGTGTCGCTACTGGGTCGATCATCTGCTCAAATCAGATCGTAAGTTGCTCGCCCATACTATATCAGAGGATGCCGAGGACCATTCACCAGCTGGTCTAGTCTACGGGTTTCTGAAAGAAAAGCTTCTATACTGGCTAGAGGTCATGGCATTCATTGGAGAAGCAGCATCAATAATCACAATGTTTAGCCTGTTGGAAACATCTATCGAAGTAAGTCTTTTGACGGCCCTCATTTGAGTTGTACCATCAATGGCTAAGGACCCTCCTTGATAGCTGTCCACAAACCCTGACCTATCATCCTTGTTGCACGATGCGAAGCGCTTTGTGCTAAACAACCGATGGAGTATTGAACATACACCTCTTCAAATGTACTGCTCTGCTCTTCTTTTTTGCCCTAAAGAGAGTCTAGTGCGCTCTTACTACCAAGATATGATCCCAGTCTGGATCACGAAGAAACCCCAAACTCAGCAAACCTGGCCTATAGCTATGTCTACGCTCGAAGGCCACACAGATGACATTTTCGGTACAGCATTCTCTCCCACGGAAAGTTTACTAGCGTCTGTCTCAAAAGATAAAACAACTAGAGTTTGGGACTACATTACTGGCTCAGAGAAGTACAGATTTGAAGATCCGGGTGGACCTTGGAAAGTTTGTTTCTCAGCCGATGGGTCTAAGCTGGCTTCAGGGTGCTGGGATGGAACTGTACGCGTCAGGGATATCAGGAAAGGAACACAAGTCAGTTTCCATACTCCATCTATTGTGAAGGGAATATTATTTTCACCAACCAGTTGCAACATCCTGGCATCAGTATTTGACGACAACATGCTCTATGTATGGAATATTGAGGACAAAAGACCGGGAACCGCTTTAAAACTTCCACATCGAGGCAGCCATGAACACATAGCTTTCTCACCAGATGGAAAGCTCGTAGCAGTTTGTTGTGGTTTCGTTGTTGCCCTATGTAACGTGGAACTGGGGCAATTAACTCATGAATTCCTGTCGAAAAAGAGATTGATGGGCTTCGATCCGAAGGAGGCTGTTCGCGGACTGTCAATTTCTACTGACCACAGAATCGTCGCAGTCAGGTTTCACAAGAGTATCGATTTCTGGGAAATGACTCCAGTAAGCCCGAAGCTGGTTAGATCCTATGAAGCGACGTGGAGCGACAATTCTTTATTTTTGTTCACATCTCCGGATGAGAAGATCAAAATCTATCAGAATCATACCCAAATGGTCGATGTTTTAGACCTGACTACTGGAGAGTCAATCGGGACATTTTTGAAGAGTTTTGTCAAGCAAGACTCGCATGACGAGCCTTTGTATGCAGATTCACCGAGATGGCCCCCTTTGATAAGAATTCTCAGCGGTCCATACACTTCGATATCCAGTGATGGAGAGGATAGCCCCCCAAATAACGTTATGTTGTTGGAAGGCAACAATATGGCGCTGAGCTATTTTTCCGGCAAGGAAACAAGACAATGGAACGCTACTGACGGGTCTATGGAGGCATTCGGGGACCATGTTCGAGCGGCAAAATGCTCACCAGACCGACAATTTGTTCTTTTGCAGCTGAATGGCGGTGATGAATTCCAAGTTTGGAATAGTACACTAACACAAAAGATTGCTGCCTATGAGCAACTGGCCTACATGGACTTTTTACCCCAAACCAGCCATCTGGTTTCCTTGTCTCTCCTGGGTAGTCTACAGATACTCTATCATGATCCCAAAAGTCTTACGTTTGAAACGGTCAACAGTATCAGTCTTCCTGATGCGCACTCCGAGAACATGCTGCGGGGAACAGGACAACTTTACGTGTCACCAAGCGGCGAAGTGATTGCCGTAATCCTTGCCTGCGATGACGGCTACCATGAGCACGGCAACGAGCTACTGCAAGTATGGAACATCCCTAGGAAGGAGAAGATTAAGGAGATCCATTGTTCTCGTATTCGCAAAATCGTCTTTTCACCTGACAGTACATACGTTGGTGTTGAATATGGGCCATACCCCCGAAGTACTCTGCTCCTCCGCTTATCGAACGGAACAGAAGTTGTAGGTTGCGATTCCTATGACGGCGGATTCTTAACATTTCACCCCTCTGGACGGATGTTTGGTATTCTGTCAAAAGACAGCACCATTTCACTATGGAAAGGCACGCCGTGGGTGAAACATTTCGTGTTCCAAGTGCCCGGAAGGTTTGGGGTGGAAAATCTCGCTCTCTCTACAACAAACAAACTTGTGGTCTTCTCAATATCATATGAAGGACGCTCTATCATTGAAATATGGGACACTGAAACAAGGCAAAAAGTTGGTTCACAGGACCTGATGTTCGCTGGGTGGGCACTTGACTTTTGTTTCTCCAAGAATGAGAATTTCATAGAGTCAAATTGGGGACGCATACCACTTCCTACACAAGATATCGCAGATATAGGGCCAGATGGTCCCGGGGATGGTTTACGTAACTGTCTGTACGTTTCGGATGACTGGGTATGCCAAGGGCGTGAGCGACTCATCTGGCTGCCGCCATCATATCGGCCGCTGCTCGATTGGACAAGGATTATTGATGTACAAGGTGATACGATTGCAATCGCCCATCAAGGAAATTGTGTTAAATTCATTGGGATTTCTCTTGAGGAGACACCTGTCGTGAAGCATTATCTGGATATTGGAAGCAGGTAGTTTTCTTTGTACTTACTTTAGATCTAGTGGGAAATACAACCAGTGAGATTGAAAATACATGCCTAGTGAGATTAAACATAAGTTTTCACAAATTTCCGATAAAACTAAAATGTAACTTCTCAAAAGTATCTCCACCCTGGTATGCGGATGACATCCCAATCATCCTCAAATTGATATCCAAGACCCTCACCAGCCCTCTTAACCAACGACGCAGCACGACACGCATCCTCTTCACTAGTCTCCGTTTCAGTAGGTGTTGTCAAAGTAGTGGTCATAGCAGTAACGTCCGCCCTAGAACAAGCCTCGTAATATTCCTCAGCCGAGTCACGATAAGTAGCATAAGCAGGCGTCTCGCTGGGGAATATGGTAGTCGCATCAGGATCTTGACGGCGGACGAGCTGTCTGTTTGTAGGCCTAGCAGTGGGCCAACCGGTAGGGATGCGATACTTCCATCGCTTTTTAACGGTTGTCACAATACTTTATCTTGTTAGCTGATTGATATCAATATGTTACAGTGCCTTATTGGATTTACACGCTGTACGGGCTGACTGTGACCACGTTGAATTCTTCACAGTCATCAATACGATCTTGGAGGGGGGGCGAGCCTCCCGCCGAGGTAATACCTGCTACACAGGCGTCGACTGTTGTAGTTGGAGTGTCTGCGGTCGTAGTGGTCTGTACAGTTACTTCATCTGCGGTAGTAGATACCTCAGTGGTCGCTTCGTTGCTAGTTGTCTCTAGCGTTGTATCGCCTACAGATTCTGTCGTTGTCTCCACAGGAGATACTTCGAACGTGGCTAAAGTGGTGGAAGTGTTATCCGAGATGGTGGTAGATTCGGCAAGCTCAGATGAAGATGAAGGCGATGTTGATAAGACGGAGGTGTCCGAGGTTGAATCGTCGACCTCGGGCGACTTAGTTGGTGCCACTTCTTCAATACTTGACGGCGTTTCGTTGGATGATGTTAGGTCGGGCTGGAGTGTTGTCACTCCAAAGCTGGAGGTGGATGGCTCGAGAGCTTCAGAAGACACGCGGCTAGCTTCTTCCGACACAATAATGCTCTCTTGAGTTGTTGTCGCAGACGAACTAGAGCTACTGTCATCCACGCCAACGAGTTTACCATTCTGGCACCGAAAAGCTCCAAGGAAGTCAGTAACAAAACACATCCATACATTGAAGTTGCATACCGTCATAAACACCAAGGGGAACTGGTGTACACCCAGGCGGTGCAGAAGTAAACGTGATATAAACCTGACCATTAGGAGTCTGACAAAAGCCTGCCTCTCCATTCGGCAAGTCATCATTCTGGAAGCTCAGCGATGTTCCAGTCGAAGCAAAGCCCTTGGTAACTGCATCTGACGGCGGGGCTCCTTCGCCTTCTAGTTGTTTGAAGTCTTCACCAGAATAAAAGATGGAATTCCCATTCTTAGAGAGCTGGCCCTGGGCGAGATTGAAGGTAGAAGCAAACGTGCAGGTATCGGGGCTACCGTCTCCAACAAACCCACCGACTTCTCTTTCATTGAGGTTTTGCTTTCGATCGTCGTCGGGGATTTGGATGAGGAGGATCACTGTCTGCCCTTCAGGCTCGATGACACCGGTCGTTGTGGGAGCCGTAAGTGTTATTTGACCAAATGAGGTTTGCAAGGCGGGTTGAGTTGTAGGTGACTCGTCGGTTGACATTGGTACGTCCAAGGTTGTAGACTCTGGCACAGATTCCGCCAACTGAGAAGTCTCTTCATCGACGAGTGAGGTCATAGAGTCTGTTTTACTCTCATTGGTTTGTCTTCCGAATGCTGAGGTAAAGTACGACTCACTTGGACTTGTAGTGACAATGGAATTATTCCTTCCAAATGTCGGACGAATTGACGGAGCCAAGGGAAACCTGCCGGTCTCCCTATCTTCTTCATCTGGTTCGTTTGTATCTCCATTGATTGAATTGACGGTTCCGTTGTTGTTCGGAATCGCTGCAAGGTAGGTAGAGAGATATGTTACACAATATGTCTCCGCTTCCCTCGGCGCAAGATCCTGCTCCGAGGAGGCAGCTATGCCTTTTAGTAGAACTGCAAAGAATATATGACTCTTCATCGTGTTCGATAAGGCTTCTGACGTGACGAAGGTCACATAAAAGTGAAAAAGAGGATTTATGTGGGATATTTGAGGCATGAAATAAGGAGCGGCCGATGTCTCAGCCGCCACAATTATGTGGAAGGGAGACATCAGCCAGCCACTAAGAAGTGCTACGAGAAAGTTTTCATCCCTACATAGTACAATCGTATTTTCATTCCAATTACCAACAGATTTTGGGTTCGGAGGTTGGTGGTTGTAAGCAACCCTCAGGGAACAAATTAACAGACCTTAACTTAGGATAGTAAAACAAACTTCATAAAAGGTATCCAAAATTCATGCAAAATTTGTACTAAACTCATACTAAATTACCCAAGTTCTTTTATCCCTCAGGATCGAGGTCCTGAGTTTTCTTGCCTCCCCCAAGCAACGCCTAGGTTTGTAGAGGTTCTAAACATCTGTGAGCCGCATCATGTTCTGAGATAAGCCTATTGAAAACTAGGATGTATTTGAAAGAAATTGCGAGGCCGGGGAACAATAGTGTTGTTCTAGACGCCATGTGGGCAACATTGACACTCGTTCATCATCAGATCCCTGTTGGATACACTTAAAATTGCAGACTTGAAATCTTAATCATATGAAATCCCGCATTTCATCGCTGGCATCCGAACTTGTTTCCAATCTATTGGTTGCCCTACAATGCATATGTCTCAGCCGCAGCATCTTTCTCGCGGACCAAAAACTCCTTGAAGTTACCCAATTCAATTCCCCACGTCTTGGCTCTCTCTGCATTGACACATTTCTCCCCATCCCTCAGAAACACCTGCGATCCAATAAACGGATTGATATCGATAGCCTGAGCCACTTTCTCGTCATTGTAGAACTCAGCCTTCAGTTCTCGCCCGGTAGCATCAGCCAGAATTTCTATCATTTGCACGGCTGTCAGCCTCTCGCTGACAAGGTCAATTCCTTCCTCGTGAAATCTTTCAGGCTCATTAAAGGCGGCGAAGGCGAATTTAGCGATATCTTGCGGGTCAACGAGGTTGAGCTTGGTGTCGGGCTTCAGGGCGGTCAACCAGGTGTTGCGCTCGAACAAGTCGCTGTAGATCCGAGCTTTTGGAGCGAGAAGATTGGACATGAAGAATCCTGGCCGGATGATAGTCCAATACTTGAATCCAGCGCGTTGAACAAGACCTTCAATAACATTCTTGACAAAGAGGCTCTTAAAGAGCAAGTGACCGGGACGGAGAAGCGTGCGCTTCTCAGGAGCATCGGCGCTAATGGAGCTCGAGTACACGACATGTTCAACGCCCGCCTTTTTAGCCAGTGCAATGATTCTCTGAGCCCAGATGCGCTCATCATCAAGATTGCTATAGTTGGGCCCAAGAGCGAGGAACAGCTTATTGCAGCCTGTAAGACCAGCAGTAAGGGCCTCTTCGTCGTCCCAGTCGCCAGCGTTTAGCACAACGCCGCTCTTAGCGAGAGCTTGTGCTTGGGGGGATTCAGTGTTTCGCACTGTAGCGCGGACGGACCAGTTTGATTGGCGGAGGTGGCGACATGCTGCTGAGCCTTGGGTGCCTGTAGCAGCGACGACGTAGACTGTTGGGAAAGACATGGTAATGATCTAAATAGTCAATGGAGTATGATGCGATAGTATTGTCCGATTCAAGGCGGATGGACTCCCATCTTATATATCTCTTTTGCTGTGAACCACAGTATGTCTCCTATGCGCTACTCTGCTATCCTTTTGTGGGGCTCAGCAGCGGAGTTCCGCTGCTTCTCAGGTCCCTCAGCGCAATTCCACCATCTTACCTCATCGCAAACCACCGAATTTCATCGTGCTCATCATCCATGGAGCGCAACGATCCCCCAGCGCGACGGAAGTCCTGTCAAGCCTGCAAAAAGGCGCGTCGGAGATGCGATCTGGCGCGTCCGACATGTCAGCGCTGCGCTCAGCGAAACATCCACTGCCATTATCCTTCTGCGCCTGCGCCACGCGAGAGCGCCAGCTGCATACACCCCGAAAGCCAGATTTCTAATATTGAGGGTCTACTTGCGCCATCATGCTTTGGGATGCTTGATCCCATCCTGGAACCAACAGACCATTTCGCAGACCAACTGTTCGACGGGTCATTGGATTGCGATACTTCTAATTGGTCCATGCCGCGGCTTTCAACCACGGCTCAAAATGCGTTGAACCGGTCTCAGTTAGTTACTATTCCTCAGGTTACAAGATCGATTTCATCCCGACTCCAGTATGCTATGGATGCAATATTGAAGGGCCCTTCGCAAATGGTTTCAGAGAATCAGACGCCTTGGTGCCATTCGCATCTATACGATGACGGAATGCCTAAATCCATGCAGCGTGAGTTCACCGTATGTACCGATAACCCAAGAATAACAATCCGAGACAGATGCGGTATCTTCTGCTGCACTCCATGCGGCAAAGAACCATCTCAACGCCAGAGTCATCCGCGACAACGTGGAAAGCCGCGTGCAGGAACTCCTCGCCAGCCCTCCACCAGCTACTCCAGTGGAAACGCTGGCATATGCACAAGCGCTCTTCATATATCAAATCATTCGTCTACTAGACAACGACGCCCGAACCTACGCCATTTACGAAGCCACCATGCCTCATCTCGAAGAAGCATCCAACGCGCTCATTCCTCACATCGCCATCGACAAAGAAGCAGATTCACCAAGCCAATCCTCAGATCTGATACCCCTGTTTCCCGCCTCAGCAGCACAGGCATTCTGGATAAATTGGATCTTCCAAGAATCAGCCAAAAGAACCCTCGGTATGATAAACTTTTTCATGCTGACGTATTACTTCATGAAAGGCGAGTCGGGTAATAGATGCGGTCAGAATAAAAACATTGCTGTGAATCGGTCTGTCACCATGTCTGCGCATTTATGGAACGCTCAAGATCCTGTCGATTTTGCACTGGCGTGGCGAGATAAGAAACATTTTGTAATAAATGTCAGCGCGTAAGTGTATTCTGAGTCTTGTTTGTTGTGTTTAGCTGATGAGTGAAAGACCAAATTTCTTGGAGACGATACTTCATGATGCCCAGAAGGATGACGTTGATGCGTTTGGCAAGATATGTCTAACATCCTTGATGGGACTTACTGAGGCAAAAGGCTGGTTAGCTATGAAGGGGATTACTCTATAGTCCCAGGTCGGATACCAATCCTGCCGAAAATACCCACTTACATGGCCTTGTTCGTCGCTAATCGGGTCTCTGCTTGGCAAGTCTTCCACGCTGGCGCTGACGGGACATGATATAAGTCATGAGAAGTAATAAAATGGTGAAAGTCTTATTTACTCGAGATTATATGGTAGTGATTCTGCTGTAGGGCTATCAAGATCCAAGCCAAGCTGGCAAATTGTGTCAACAGTTTATCTGGGTCATGATAGCAAGTGTCCACGAAATGTCACGGCTCTGTTATGAGATCAAGAATGAGTACACACAGCTCGTCACTACAGCTCGGGGGCAAGAAATAGATGGTAGACACTGATATGATTCTGTATGTAAAGTATTGGCACTTTCTCACTATTGTACATATAGAGATTAATTCAATGTCTGAAGTTCGGGTCTAGGGTAGTGTGGAATATTTGGCACCTTGACATAGACTTGAGACAGATAATAATAGAATTAGCTCAGAGTGTCAGGTCCTATTCTTTCGTTAAACCTGGCTCCCACTTATGGACGGCGATGCCGAGGCAAAACCGGTGCGGCTGAGAAAGAAAAGTCATATCGGAGGACCCGATGTTACTTCAATTCCACAGCATCATGTTTTGTTATCTTATCTCGCATTGATAAGCTTCTTATCGCCTCGAGCCAGCAAGGACCCTAGCCTTAGGTTCTAATACGAAAACAAGGTGCCAAAATCATCTAGTCTAAAGATATACTAGAATACACTGAATTTACTTAAGTCTTTTTGTCCTAAATCGTTTTGCCTCCCTGGCGTGGAAACCTGGCAAAAGTCCCTTGAATAAGCTGCTGACAGAACAACAAGTGGACCAGGTCGGCCGCGGCTCAACTCCACCAAAGCGGCCGACTTTACAACAGTCGTGATAGGGCCATCAGCCGCCAGCAACGCAATGATGGTTAAAAATAAGCGAAAATACAAGCTTAGGAACAAGCTTCTGCCAAGCGCCAATGCCGGATCCTTACTGCCCCTGGTAGTCGAGACCTTTTAGATCTATATCCCCTGCCAAGAGCTGCGTGATTGAGAGGCTTTCACGAGGTGGGACCCTGATTGAATGGAATGATGTTTGTTCTAGTGCAATGCCAAGCTAGCTGTTAATGCGAAAATGGAAGGTTGTATTTTCGGACTTCACGAAATGCTGCCTTGCACGTGTCATGGCATTGTAATGAAAAGAGATTCAGTTTGACGACAGCGGTCAACCTCAACGACGTGTATAAAGACATGGCTAATGTCTTCACTAATTCATCCCTTTTCCTTATCCTCAGATCATCAGTCTCCTCTCACTCTCTTTCGACAACTCAATACTCCCCCCTCATCACCATGCTCGTCTCAACTTCTCTTCTCGCTCTCTGCTCGGCAGCCTTCACAGCAGCTACGCCTGCTCCAGCTCAAACCGCCGAGACGGACTTTAGCTTCTGGCTCGGCGGCCCTATCCTCGAGAAATGTCTCGCCGAAGGAAACTGCGAGGACCGCCTCCTCGACAACCCTTACTACGTCGAGGCCAAGAAGAACAAGCATGCCAAGCGCTACAGTTGCCATGGCTCTAAAATACATACCGTCGTCACGACCGGCAAGAACTTTGTCAAGTTCGGTTCTTTCAACCCGTATGATCTGTTCCACCACGTCTACGACCTTTGTCACGAAGGCGGATGCGACAGTGGCAGTGACTGGGCCCGAAGTACAAAGTATGTCACTGCAACAGGTATCTACTCAAAGGACATCAAAGTCAGTGCTCAGGGTGTTTATTCCGGCTGGGAGATGCGAAATGCTCTTGCCCAGTCCCTGGCCGATGCTTCTGGACGCAACCA